ATCTGTCCAATTTTCCCAACACCATTTATTGAAGAGACTGTCTTGACTCCATTTTATGTTCTTGCCTCCTTTGTTAAATACTATTTGAGCATAATAGCTTGGGTAGATTTCTGGGTTTTCTGTTTCGTTCCATTGGTCTATATGTCTGTTCTTTGAAGTATGCTGTTGGTATTTTAATGGGGATTGCATTAGATAGGTTAAAGCTGTCTTAAAATTTATATTCTATTATACATTCTTCCAGTCATTGCCAATCTTTGATATATACTTATTACTAAACTGAGGTGGTAGGATTGATTGCTTTGGGTAGTATGGACATTTTAATGATGTTGATTTTACCAGTCCATGAACACGGTATATTCTTCCATTTGTTTATGTCTTTATCTTTTTTTTCAATGTCCTGCAGTTTTCCAAGTACACGTCTTTTACCTCCTTAGTTAAGTTTATTCCTAAGTATCTTAATTTTTTTGGTGCAATGATAAATGGGATTTTTTTGTTGTTGTTTCTCTTTCTGTGAGTTCATTATTGGTGTATAAAAATGCCATAGATTTCTGGGTGTTAATTTTGTATCTTGCTACATTGCCAAATTCATTAAACCTAGTAGTTTTTGGATAGAGTGTTTATGGTTTTCTATGTACAATATCATGTCATCTGTGAATAATGACAGTTTTACTTCTTTTCCAATTTGGATATCTTTTTCTTCTTGTCTGATCACTATGGCTAGCACTTCTAGTACTATGTTGAACAGGAGTGGTGAGAGTGGGCATCCCTCTCTTGTTCCTGTTCTTAGGGGAAATGGTTTTAGTTTTTGCCCACTGAGTATGATGTTGGCTGTAGGTTTTCATATCAAGGCTTTTAGTATGTTGAGGTATGATCCCTCTATTCCCACTTTGCTCAGAGTTTTTATTAAGAAAGGGTTTTGGTTTTGTCAAATGCCTTTTCTGCATCAATATGATTATGTGATTTTTGTCTCTCAATTTGTTTATGTGATGTATCACATTTATTGATTTGTGGATCTTGTACTATCCTTGCATACAACAAATAAAGCATTACCACCAAACCAGTATTGCATGAAATATTAAAGAGTCTTCTTCAAGGAGAAGACTTAAACTATGAACAATAAAATAGCAAAATGTTTATCTATCAACAACTGAATCTGCCCTAGTTGTTTTGCTCAGTGTTTAGAGTGTCAGCCCAAGGAATGAAGTGTCATGGATTTGATTCTGGTCAAGGGCATATACCTTGTTTGCAGGCTCCATTCTCAGTCCAGGTCGGGGTGTGTAGGGGAGGCAACCAATCGATGTATCTCTCTCACATCTTTGTTTCTCTCTGACTCTAACCCTCTTTTCCACTTTCTAAAAATCAACGGAAAAAATATCCGCCAGTGAGGATTAAAAAACAAAGAAAGAAACAAATACAAAAGAACAATTGAATCTAAAAATCAAAACAAACAGAGAACCTAATGAACAAAAAAAACTTGATGAAAAAAATAGAACTGGGGCATGAAAACGTAAAACAAACTGAAGAATCTCAGAGGGAAGGGGGAATGGGAGCAGGAATGATTAACCAAAGAACTTATATGTATACTAGAGGCCTGGTGCATGGAATTCATGCACAGGGGTAGGAGGGTCCCCTTAGCCCAGCCTGCACCCTCTTCAATCTGGGACCCCTTGGGGGATGTCTGTCGGTTTAGGCCCGATTGGGCTCCTAATCGCTCACCTGCCTGCTTGCCTGGTCGCCCCTAACTGGCCCCGCTGCCGGCCTGGTTGCCCCCAGCTGCCCCCCAATGCCGGCGAGATCACCCCCAACTGCCCCCTCCCTGCCAGCCTGGCCGCTCCTGCCACTCCCCTCTGCTGGCCTGGTCATCCCTTACTGCCCCCTCTGCTGGCCTGGTCGCCCCTAACAGCCCCTTCCCGCAGGCCGTCACCCCTCATTGCCCCCCCCTGCCAGCTTAATCACCCCCAACTGCCCCATGCCGGCCTGGTCACCCCTAACTTCCCCCCCTGCTGGCCTGGTTGCCCCCAACTGCCCCCTCCATGTCAGCCTGGTCACTCCTAACTGCCCCCTCTGCCAGCCTGGTTGCCCCCAGCTTCCCCCTCTGCCAGCCTGGTCAACCCCAACTACCCCTCCTGCCAGCCTAGTCACCAACTGCCCGCCTTGTCAGCCTGGTTGCCCCTCACAGCCCCCCTGCTGGCCTGGTCACCCCACACAGCTTGCTGTTCAGTCGTTTGGTCATCCCTCACTAACCCCCCTGCTGACCTGGTTGTAGGCAGCCATCTTGTGAGGGCGTGAGGGTTAATTTGCATATTACCTCTTTATTATATAGGATGTGCATAACCCATGGACACAGACAATAGGGTGGTGAAGGCCTGGGTGGGGTGGGATCTGGGTGGAGGGGGGCAATGAAGGGAAAAAAGAGGGGGACATCTGTAATTCTTTCAACAATAAAGATTTTTTAAAAATGTATCACTGTTAGGAGCTAATTTAACACATGCCTTTCTTAGATGACTGCTAATAAAACTATCTGCCAGATTGTCTTTTTCATTTTAACACTAAAAGGCAGTTCCGGTTAAGGTTTTAAAAAGTATCAATTTAATACTGAATATTTAGAAATATGGTACACACAGACACCATAGTCATATAAAATGCATACAATTTTGAATTACTTTCTTATGAACTGTTAACATGGATGGCTGACAGTTTCTAATAGATAAAATTTTGGACAGTTACCAGACATTTTAAAGGGGTTCATTTTAAATACCATTTAGTCATGCAAATAGAGGTTTTTATAAAAATAAATATGACAAATGTGGATTTCTAAGTATAAATTGACATACAAATCTATATCTTTTCATAATGCTTCTCATTGAAATATCTTTAAAGCACTGTGTAACATGAAGTTGAAACCTCAAATTAGATGTAATAAAAGCCATGGTTTTATTAAAATTGTGCAAGTCACATAACAAATATTTACATAAAAGTAAACACAAAATTGCAAACATATTTTTGTCCTACAAGCCATCAACCTCATAAAATTACTTACTGAAATACTGTGAGATAAAGTTCCCAATTTTGAATGTTCATTAAGCAAACACATATAGGAACAATATATGAAAAACTTTATTTTTCCTTCTGAGAAGCAGTGAAGGATTAACAAATTACCCCTTGGGGATTGTCAAAGCTTTCCTAGAACTCAAGGGGAGTAGATTCTTTTGTAAAACAGAACTAAAATCACATCCTTCACCAGCACACAAACCTTTTATAAATTTTCTTTTCCAAACTTATATATGCTCACAACTCTGAATCACAGGTTAGTGAACTGGGCTAAAATGTTCCTACCCTCTAAAAGGGCAGCTCCAAAGGGGGAAAAAACACATTCCCTTTTTCTGACCTAAACAGCTTGAATAAATTTCTATTATGAATAAAAAGAGAAGAAATAATTACCTTACACATAAGTAAACTTGATGGAACTTAGATGGAATAAATACAGCAAGTACTCAAGAATCATTTTGTTCAACACCATTTTGATGTTATGTTGATGAGGAAAAAAAAAATCAATTCCCAGCTTGGGCCATGTCTGTGTGGAATTTGTATGTTCTCCCATGTCTGCCTGGGTTTTCTCCAGATACTCAGTATCTTCCCACTTCCCAGTTTTGCACATGAGATTAACTGGAGTGTCTATACAGTCCCAGTCTGATTGAGTATGGGTGTGTAGTGTTTCCTGTAATGGGAGGGCATTCTGTCCAGGATGGGTGCCTGCCTGGTGCTCTGAGCTGCTGGGAACAGCTCCAGCCTTCCTTGACATTGAACTGGTATAAATGGGTTGGAAACTAATTCTCTTACTTATTTTTATTAATCTTTCCTAAATGTATGTAGAACTCATTTATTTCAATGTTTATTATCAGGAGTGTTTTGGGTCTTTATTTAGAAGTTTGGTGAGGTTTTCATGACGGGAAATATGCTGTAGAAAAGTAACTGTTATTTATATCAATTAGCCTGTGGCAAAACTGGTTTCATCATATGTTGTTTCACTGAAAGTAGCAGTTTCCAAGAAGCTACTGATGACATTATGTGAAGACATATTGTACTAGTTATCAGAAGAGCGTATTTCTTAATGGAACTTAAATATTCAAAGCTTAATTGGAGAGCATGGCCAGCATGTCTCAGTGGTTGAGCCTCGACCTATAAACCAGAAGGTTGTGGTTCAATTCCTGGTCAAGGCACATGCCTGGGTTGTGGGCTTGATTCCCAGTGGGGGGTGGGCAGTAGGCAGCCGATCAATGATTCTCTCTCATCATTGATGCTTCTCTCTCCCCCTTCTTTTCTGAAATCAATAAAAATATATATTTTTTAAAAACTTAATTGGGTTATATTACTTATTTAAAAAGTTAATACAGAAGAAATAATAGGATTTTAAAAATTAAGTTAGATCAGTGGTCTTTAACGCTGACCACAACTTAGAATAACTTGGGGAACTTTTAGAAAAACTTAATAGCTCCAACCCTAAAAAATTCAGATTTAACTGTTGTGGGTAGATTCACATTAAGATCCCTGTAGATGATTGTAATATAAAGTGAGGGTTGCAAAACATTGATTTGGAAAAATTACTAACTTCAGGTTGAACCTGATTTAAATAAATTATTTAAAATTCAAATATATGAGCACTTCGTACATGGTAGGCACTGTTCTAAGAGTTAGTAAAGAGGAAATTCTTTTTTCTATAAAAATCATTGGATAACAATATATTTTTTATCTTTTGAATGTTATATAACTTTACTAAAATATTGCTCAAAGCTTTTATTATGGTCTGCTGTCATGAAACATTTCCTTCTACTTTTCTAAACTATACTCACTTGCTACTGTACCCAAAGAGATCAAACCAAGAAGCTTTTTTTCCCAAGGTATGTGGAAAGAAGATAAGAATAACACAGATTTCCTTTTTTTCAAGTCATAGCATATGAGGTATTCTCACTATATATCTGGAGTCACAAAGCCATAAGAACTGAAATTAGGTTATTTAATGAATAACAGAATCTCCTGCATCAAGAATGAACTACCATTAGTGTCAGTGCTTGCTTTACATTGCCTAAAAAGTAATCCAGGAGAGAGCCTCAGGGAACATAGTACAAGTGTGTCCTTAATACAAACCATATTTCTTGTGACCTATTTATAAAACATTTCTTTTAACAAGTTACAGGGATATGGTTTTTGAAACAATATGCAATTAGAAATGTTATCTCAAAAAACGGAAGACAAAAGCAATATATAGTTTTTCAAATACTTCATAATTTGCTACTATCCCAGGATGTTAGCATTAACATTTTAAGTCAACACCAACTTTATTAAGTATTATGAAATTCATTTGAAATGCATTTAAGTCAAGAAAAATATATGATTTAAATTAATAAATTTGCTTTGTATTTACTCTTTTAACAGTTTTCAGGTTCAAATATGCTGAAACCAAATGATCAAGTTATTAATTCAATTATTGGCTAATTATAATTAGAGCTGGACAGCAGGACAAAATGATGAAATTTTGGTTAAAGTGTAATACACGCACACATAGGAAAATGCAATAGCAATTTGTTTTCCATACTTAATAGAATTAAAACAGCTTTAAAAATTTTATGAAAGCTCAGTAGTCAAAATAAATATTTAATAAAAATATACACCATAACACAATATTAAGAACTTAGTGTTTAAAAATAAACATCACATTGTTTGCCTTCAGTTAAACAGAACTCAATTTAGTTGCTTAAGAAATCTAAGAATAATTGAGTTTTTAGAAACAAAATTAAAATTTAAATAACACTAGAGAGATAATACATCTTAAGATGAAAGAGAAACCATGTTTTAAATCAAAAGTTTAAATAAAGTTATAATTTTTGAGACTTCTTAGTATGACTATGATCCTAAGAAATATGAATAGTTTGGGGAATATAAGTCAAAGATAATCATGATTATGTGGTTCATGCTGTGAAATTCTCAGTATGTTAAGAAAATAAAAATACAGTATATATGAGCACCATTAGAAATGTATTGTATGTACATACATATATTTAAAACTTTACCTGACTGAAATTTGCATTTTAGAGTGAAGGACAGCACACAATTATAAAAATACATTCTTAATCTTACATGTCATGACCTATTTTAAAATGTTTCATCTAGCATTCCTTCTAAAAATCAACAAAAGAATACACACAAAGCCAGTATTCTCTTATAGGCAAAGTCCCTTGGTTAAACAGAAAGTCACTAAAGAAAAAATAAGTGTTCATTAAGTGTTTTCAATTCATAGACAAATTTCAACAGGTGAAGGAAAAATAAATTCAGTAATAAATGGGAATTCACAGAATGAAATAGCAAATGTTGGATTTGCTCCCAAAGGATTATCATTTAGGCCTCAGACTATTTTTAATTGATAGTAGTCACGATTATTCTGCTGGAAGAATCTTCCTTCTATAATATAAGGTACAAATTAGCCACCTGTAATTTAATATTTCAGCTATATTAACCAAAACTCAGAAAACTATGTGGTATCTTAGAATACATAATCTGGTGTAAGGTAGGTGTTTAATAAAAATCTTATTTTGATCCTACATAGAGGCAGCTCATGATACTGTTATGAATCCTTGCTATTTTTCAAAGTTGCCATAAGCAATCAACTGATATAGTCTGAAGTTCTTTGAAACCATTGTCACATAATAAAGAGTAATGCTATTCACCATTTAAAATACGTTCAATCTCTTCTAGTCTTTTTAAAGCAGCAACTCTTTTCTTCTCAATTTCTTTTATTTCTTTTGTTGTTTTGTGAGGGGTCTCACTGTCGGTATCTTTTCCTAACTGCTTGTTGGTTTTAGATGAACTTTTATTATCACTTGTTTTGATTACCTGTGTGGGTCGGGGTTCACTTCTTATTTCTCTTGCATTTTCAGTTGGAATTTTGTTTCCTGAAGTCTTACTAACTGGGAATATTGGTTGTTCTATTAAACTAGATGCGGAAATTTTATCCCTGACTATATTCAAATGGCGCTGGATATATTCTTCATGTGGTGCTAATGCCAATGTTTCAAGCAGGCATCTTTCAGCTTTTAGTAAGTCTTTCTCTTCAAAATAAACAACACAAAGATTGTGCTTTCCTTGCACATTCCTTGGATCCATCTCCAAAATCTTTTCGAAACATTTTTTTGCTCCAAGTATATCTTTCTTTTGATTCATCAGAATGTCTCCCTTTAAAATGAGACCCTTGATATGATCAGGATAGTATTTGAGTAACTCTTCTAAAACTGGCAAAGCCAGTAATTCCTTTGCAGTCTGAGAATACAGCAGAGCCAGATTAAACAAAGCACTTCTGAAGTCAGGTTGTAATTTTATGGCTTTCTTCATCCACATCTCTGCTTCAGAGTCCTTTTTGTCATCCATGGCAAGCATTCCCAGATTGAAATAACCATTGGCATCTTGTGGCTCTTCATTTATATAACTTAAAAGTCGTTTTCTAGCTTCAGGTCTGAGCTTAACCTCACCTATGAGTAATTTTAAAAAAACAACAACACAAAAACATTATATTGTTAGCAAATAAATTTAATCTTGAGGAAAAAAGCCACTTTCATATTTTATCTAGTTAGATTACAAAAAGAGAGCATCAAAACAACTAATTGCTGTACCTAAATCAAAAGCAGAGAGGGAAATCTTAGTCTTCATAGGAAAGAGAGAGTGTGTTCGACACTGAAATGTTCGCAAAATATCTCCTTACAGTTTAGAAGCTAACTGGGAGTAGCAGAGAAAGAATAGAGAATTAAAAGAAAGGCATGCGATTTGCCAACAGACATGCAATCAATCTTGATTCCGTTAACGTTGTGACTTTATACATTGAACAAGATATAGGACTTCTCTGGGTTTACTTACGAATTTTCTTGGAACTACATGAGATGGATGTAAAAATGCTTAGTAAACATTAACTATTATTGGGTAACAAAATGTTTCTGTCTTAAGATTTTTGTATGTTATTTCAAATTTTTTTTGATGTTTCAAAGGTAAAAATATACCATGAGTATAGTTTATAAATATATATTTGGATTTAATAAACAAATATTTATTGAGATAACTTTATTGTAAGTAAATACAAATGAATTCAAGGTCTACAACTATAAAACTTAAGGTACAAACTTGTGTGGGATAATGGGCCCTTTCATGATTACTAAAGTTAGCTAACTTCCCGAACTTAACCGGTTTGGCTCAGTGGATAGAGCGTCAGCCTGTGGACTGAAGGGTCCCAGGTTCAATTCCGGTTAAGGGCATGTACCTTGGTTGCGAACACATCCCCAGTAGGGGGTGTGCAGGAGGCAGCTAATCGATGTTTCTCTCTCATCGATGTTTCTAACTTTCTATCCCTCTCCCTTCCTGTCTGTAAATAAATAAATAAATAAATAAATAAATAAATAAATAAATGTTAGCTAACTTCACAAAAATATTAGCTCTTCTCTAAATTTATACTTTTTTGAATACCAGGCTAAAGCCCTCTTCTATTCTTTTATTTGACAATATGGTAAATAAAGAAAACTTGAAAATAAATCAGTAGGCTTAAGCTCCTATCTTGGACTAATTACTACAGGCAATATAAAGTTGGGGTAGTTATTATATATATTTGGTCCTCACTTTCTAATCCACTTTATAGAAGATTGGTAAAAGTAAACTTGCAAGTCTTCTTGCTCTAAAATAATATGATTTTATGATTCATTCATTTTTTCTGTAAAAGTTTTAAAAAGAATTGACTTAATATGTAACTCTATTTTCCAAATATAGAAGATTATAAATCATACAGTTTTCTTAGTACTAAAATCCCCATATATAAAAAAATCCTGATTTATTATAATTCATAATTTAGTTTTGCTAAATCATAGAAAATCATAAGAAATTATAATATTTCAAAAATAGTAAAACTGGATATAAAATAATACCAAAAGTATTTGGTCTTATAAATCAAGAGAAGATAGAATATTTCTTCCTAAAACATACAATGCTATTAGCTTCCTAGAAATAATTATGTAAAAATTTTTACAAATTCAGATTATTTGAGCAATATATATGTGAGATTATATTTTCGTGCATAAAGTGACAGGATTAATAAGACATTGCTTAAGAGATTGCCTAAAAACTCAGTCTTAACATATATATACCAGAAGAACAATTAGACTTGTCATATATGTAAGTGTATATTCCTTGAGAAGTTTAAGTATGTTAAAAATTCTACTTATAAATCATTTATACAATTTTGATACAAACTATCCATTCACAAAATGTTTGCTACAGGCAATATATTTTAAATTAAGATTTTATTATATTTCTAATTACAACGTGTTTAAATGTAGAACTATTTTGAGAAAACATACCTGATTCTTGCATTAATATACCAGAATTGAATAATGCTAGCTTATGTTTTGGATTTAGTTCTAAAGCACGATTAAAGTTTTTAAGAGCTTCATTTGGTTCTTTAAGTTCAATTTGAACAATCGCCAAGTTGTACCAAAGATCTGCATTATTTCTGTCCAACTCTAGTGCTTTAAGATATGCTTCTTTTGCTTTGAAAGGTTTATTCATTTTTAAAAGCAATTCTCCTCTGTGGAAAAATCAAGCACAAGCTTTAGTTACAATATTACCATGTCAGTTGGTAGATACTATTTTTCACACATTTTAAGCTTTTTCATATATTCACAGCTTTCTTTTTTCCTTTTAACTGAGGTTCTTAAAGTTTTCTTCCAAAATCATCGACTAGCCAAAGTAATACTGAGAAAAAGAACAAAGCCAGAGGTATCACACTCCCTGATTTAAAACTATACTACAAAGCCACAGTAGTCAAAAACATTACACGGAGCTGGCAGAAACGGAATTGACAGTCTAGAAATAAACCATACATATATGGATAACTAACTTTCAACAAAGGAACCAAGAATATACAATGGAGAAAGGAAAGTCTCTTCAATAAATGGTGTTGGGAGAATTGAAGAGCCACATGCAAAAGAATGAAACTAGATTACTATCTTACATCATAAACAAAAATTGACTCAAAATGGATTAAAGACTTGAATGTAAGCCCTGAAACAACAAAATAAATAGAAGAAAATATAGGTGCTAAACTTATGGACCTTGGTGTCAGAAGGTTTGTGAACTAGACCCTAAACTTAAGGGAAGTAAAAGCAAAAATAAAGGAATGAATCTACAACAAACTAAAAAGCTTCTGCACAGCAAAAGAAAAAAACCCCAAAATAAATATCAACAAAACAAAAAGGCAACCAACTGAATGGGAGAAGGTATTTGCAAACAACATCTCCAAAAGAGGCTAATATCCAATATATATAAAAAACTTACACAACTTAACAAAAAACGATCCTATTAATAAATGAACTAGCTATACAGATGGCCAACAGATATATGAAAAGCTATTCAACATCACTAGTTATTAGGGAAAGGCAAATCAAAACATCACTGAGATACCACCTCAACACCTGTTAGAATGGCTATTATAAAAAGACAAGAAATAACAAGTGTTGGAGAGGTGGGAAGAAAAGGGGAAACTTATAGACTGTTTGTGGGAATGTAAATTAGTGCAGCCATATGGAAACCAGTATGGCGGTTTTTCAAAAAATTAAGACTAGAACTACTATATAATCCAGGAATTCCTCTTCTGGATATTTACCCGAAAAATATGAAAAAACTTACCATGAAGATATCTACATCTCTATTTACAATAGCCAAGACATGAAAATAATCTATGTATATATATATTACTCATCCATAAAAAGTAACAAATATTGCATTTGTGATGACATGGATGAATCTTGAAAGTATTATGCCAAATAAAATAAGTCAGATGTATGATTTCACTCATACATAGAATTAAAACAAAAAGCAATAAACAAATAACAATACAGAGAAAATTCACAGATACAGACAACAGGATGGTGGCTGCTAGAGGGGGAAGAGGTTGTTGGGGGGAAGGGCGAAGTGGGGAAAGGGGGTTAAATATATAGGGATGGAAGGAAACTAAACTTTGGGTGGGAAACCACACAATGGAGTATATAGATGTCAAATTATAATCTTGTATACCTGAAAATTATATAATGTTATTAACCAATGTTATCCCAATAAGTTTAATAATAATAATAATGACAACAGTAAAAAAACAAACAACTTTTGGAAACTGTCCTCAAACATGAAGTCATAGCTTTGGCAAATATGACTTGATTTGTTTTCAAATATTATTTAAAAACAAAAGCATGCCTGATTTTAGAGAGTAAGATGTGGGGAGGTATTCACAGAAAAATATATTCTTTGAATATAACTTGAAAGGAAGCAGACTAGATTACTTCAGAAAAATAATAGCTACCAGAGGGAGAGATAATTTGTCAGAAAACCAGGTGATAGTATTTTAAGAAAGAAAAGAAAAACATAGTGATAGGGCATTTTAATATATAAGTCTTACTATCCAAAAAGTAGAACATTAGAAAAATTTTAACCCTTATCTTCTATGCATCCTTTAAACATTTTTTATTTTATTGATTTTTTTTTAGAGAGGAAAGGGGAGGGAGGAAGGAAGGGAGAGGGAGGGAGGGAAACATGGATGTGAAAGAGAAACATGGATCAGCTGACTCCCGCATGGGTCTGACCAGGGCATCGAATGTGCCACCTTTTGGTGTAGGGCAGTGGTTCTCAACCTTCCTAATGCCGTGACCCTTTAATACAGTTCTTCATGTTGTGGTGACCCCCAACCATAAAATTATTTTCGTTGCTACTTCATAACTGTAATTTTGCTACTGTTATGAATCGTAATGTAAATATCTGATATGCAGGATGTATTTTCATTGTTACAAATTGAACATAATTAAAGCATAGTGATTAATCACAAAAACAATATGTAATTATATATGTGTTTTCCAATGGTCTTAGGCGACCTGTGAAAGGGTCATTCAACCCCCAAAGGGGTCGCGACCCACAGGTTGAGTACTGCTGGTGTAGGGGATGACACTCCTACCAAGTGAGCCACACAGGCCTGGGTCAGTGTATTCTTATAAAATGACCATTCATTGGGGGTTGGGGGATGGGGGGTAAAGGGAGCTGGGGGAGAATTAAAAAAGCTGATCTGGAAGGGGCATTGGTGCCACCTGCAGATACCTTTGAGAAATATTGCTGGAACTGAGGATCACAATTTGAAAATTATTTTATAAATCTTTCTAATATGGTTCTATTTCCTGTTAGAGAGTTTAAAACATCATTTTTATTAAGTACATATATGAAAATCAATTTAAGTATGGATGTATTATAATATTCTTTCCTAAAGTATCAGCATAGGAATGAAATCAAATGAATGACTATTAGTATTCTTTTTTTGTTGTTGTTAGAACTCAGCAAAATAATATTCCCATTTATTTTTGGACAACATTGTTTCACACATATATCAAATAGGCAAAAAAATAAAAATAAACAGCAACTTCATAAACAAAAAAAATGGAAAAAAAGAAACCTTTTTATCTTTGGCCTTTTTAATCATTTCATACAAACAGACTACTTATACTACAGTAAGTACATACACAAAAAGTTACTGGAATGCTTGGAATAAGATTGTTTGTTGTCATTCTTGATTTTTACCAGGTTTTTTTCCTATTAATAATCTTTATTAGGGAAATTTTAGATGAGTGTTTTTCTAAAATGTTATCTTTTTAAGTTGAGACTGTTAAATAATTCTTTATGTATTAACACAAGAAAGGTTTTATTTACAGATGCAACCCCACTAAACCTAGAGAATTTCAAAAAGCACTGAATAAGGCTGAACAATGATGGCTCCCTAATAATTTCAAGATCAAAAACTTATTAAATTCTGAATGCATTTTCCACGTAGAAACAATGTCATAAATTATGCATAGGTTAACATGTGATACCAAAAACTTATTTTTAATGACAACTAAATAGTTTCTTTGTGGTAAAGGCATTAATAACCAGTCAACTCTCAGCATTTATTTAAGAAAGCTCTGAGAGTTAGATATTAAAAGTACGAATTATAAAATGTAAGTTTTAGGTGTTTTACATAAAATAAATTTGGTGATAAGAAGCAAATGAAACTAAGGAGCTTCTTTCACATAAAACCTAAAGTTTGCTGTTATAAGTTATGGACTCCCCTGTCAATTTCAAATCAAATCAATTTAATTTTGATTGCTAGTCCAAAATGGGCTATGTTTCTATGTTAGTTGCAACTAAGATTGTGGAGGGGGAAAAAGCTAATTTAATCAAAATAGTCAAAATGTAACATGCAGATAGATGCCGCATCAATTTTCTATAACAACAGCTTAACATGAACTATAATACCTGCTAATGTAAGCCTGTTTGAAGTCGGGCCTCATGCTTATCGCTTGTCGATACAGCTGATCAGCTTCTTCTAGCCGGGACTCATCTGCTCGGATCAGGTTGGCCAGATTAATATAAACGTTTAGGTGGTTAGGGGCAATTCTGGCTGCATATTTTTTACCAGGAATAATCTGTTCAAAAGAAAAGGCATTTCCTTAAGTTGATATTTCATTACCAAATAAAAGTCAAAAGTAAGTAAGCCTAGAAGCTTATTTAAAATATACACAGAATGTAAAAAGATAATGCTATTAGTTTTACTGCTACTATATTAAAATAAGTCATAAAAATGTGAAAGCATCTATAGTCAGAGCATGCAAAATAATATCTTCTTGCACTAAAGAATATATTTTTTTAATTCATGCCAGCTTAAGAGAATGAAGTCATATAAATCAGAACTTTTACAGGTTAAGGTATCAGTATGTTTATGTCAGACCAGAAATAGAACTTAAGACTCTTTTCTCTGTCTAGTGTATTTGTTAAATCATGTCAACTTTCATGTTGTTAGCAAAATATATTTTTTTTTTTAAATATATTTTATTGATTTTTCACAGAGAGGAAGGGAGAGAGATAGAGAGTCAGAAACATCGATGAGAGAGAAACATCGATCAGCTGCCTCCTGCACATCTCCCACTGGGGATGTGCCCGCAACCCAGGTACATGCCCTTGACCGGAATCGAACCCGGGACCCTTCAGTCCGCAGGCCGACGCTCTATCCACTGAGCCAAACCGGCTTCGGCAGCAAAATATTTATTTACTGGTTGTGACAATAAGGTAGTTAATTACATTTCATAGTTATACTAAATCCTCGCTTGTCTGGTGGAGTTAAATTATCTTATTAATTGATTATTCATGTTAAATAAACATTATCATAAATAATATATGGACCCAAATTTTCAATGAGCAGAATGAATTATATCTGATAAAAATCCACACTGAACACAATTTAACTTTAGAATCTTAGGAATGAATTCTTAAGGTATCATGTGGTCCAATTTTGTTTTTTAAAACATTTATCAAACTAACCATTCATTTTAATATTACTACTATTAATATAATATTAATACATACTAAAATCAAAAAAACTGTAGCCAGGGTAAACCATCTTATCCCGATGATGCATAGTTAGGTCAAGGGCAGGATCAGATTTTCCAAAATATGAAGAGAATCTTGTATCATTGTAACAATTAATGGACACAATATAGCAATAGAGATGTATCCATTTGTTTTATTCATTTATTTTTTTTTGGTAGGACTAATGCTAAATTTAGTGCTTAATGTACATACATACAATTCTCTTCATCTAAAGTAATTTAACTCACTGATAACTTGTAATAAAAAATATCAAAAATTCATTAACTATGAATTTAGTTTTTATAGACTATATGAAAATTTTTTTTAAATTGAGCTAGCAAAGTAAGTTTATTCCTTTATTATACTTATACTAAATAGATGGTTCATTGGACACCTTACTTTTATATCAATAAATTGAAGGAAAGATAAGGATTTTCCATCTAGATAATTTTATTCAATATGGATATTTAATAGACATGACACAACAGGAATAAATGATAACTTACTTGAGGCATCAGTGACTTGGCCATCATATAAGATTCTTCAGCTTCTTTGGTTCTATTTAAGTTTTTATAAGTTCTTCCTACATTCATGTGGGCACCAATATCATCTAAAATTTTAAAGAAATTATTTGTTGAAAATATGCGAAATAGAATTCAATGTAAACTACTAAGAGGACATGTTTCTTGCAACAAAAACAATAGCAAAAAATGTAAAAGCAGGCATTCCTCCTCAAAGTTCTAATACAACTTGTTATGATTTATGATCAATGTAGCAAACTATTAAATAAAGTAAAGACAGAAAATACACATATAACATGAAAAAACTATCTGAATGTACCGCTGATGCATTAAGACATGAGAAGAAAGAAAAAGAGGCAATGAAGAAATGTACATCATTTTTCTTCACTGTATTTTAATATACTATATACTAAGGCTTGCTTCCATTTCCTAAGCTCAGAGCTTTGGCATTTACTCAAAAAGTGTGGCTCAACTAACTCTAAAAGTAAAAAAGGATATACAAGTAAAAGGATCATCATAATCTCTAGAATTATTTTCAGTGTTATAACTAACAAATATGCCATAGTGGGATAGGGGCAAAGAGATATGAAAACACTTTGTGACTTTGTTTTATAAAATGTTTGTGAAATGTGGTTGGAATGCAAGTATAATGGAATGTTAGTATTATATAATACTACTTAATATGCAGCAGCCCATCTCTCTTAAATAATAAATTCCTATATAATTTATTTAAAACTTTTTGAAAGTTTTAAATATCAGAATGTCAGAAAATTTTGTCTCATTTTCTGATGCAGAAAATTGAATCCTCAGCAAATTTATTCAGGCGTAGAAAAACGTGCAAATATAATAAAAAAGATATGAGAGTTTAAGATACATTTCCCAGTAAATATTTCAAAGGTCTGGAATAAAGACAGAAAGAAGGGAGATCTTAAATCAGACAAATTTTAGCCAACATGAATCTCTAACAGACACGACAAGGTTTCAAATTGTGATTACTACTTGCCTGTGACACCGATGATTTTGCAATTGTGGAATAGGTCTCTGCCTGCAACTCCCAGGACACATAGGGGCCAAGCATATATATCTTAGGCATTCCCCTAGGAGGAGAGTAACAGTCCTAAGATCTTATTACATTATGTTTCAGGCTGGCAATTGTGTGCACCACACCAAAATGGTCAGGTGCAGTACAGGTTTGATTAGAGAACTAGGGGACAAGATTGGGAAGGAGGTTGATTTTAGTTTTTAGACGTATTACTGAATCTTATGAGATCTCAGGAGGCGGGGGTAAAAAAAAATGCTTAGGCCAACCATTCCCAATCCTGCTTTTAAAAATTTTATCTTAGCCCCACACAGCTCTATCCAAATAGAATCTTCAGGAATAGAATCTGCAGAAATGTTTTTAAAACGTTTAAAAGGCAATTTTGATGTAGAGCCAAGGTTGAAATTCACTGCATTACCAAGTGCACATAAAATAGGTAGTCTTTGCTTCTAGGTAGCTCAATTTTTTTAAACATTAGATAAACTTACGCCATTTACTATAGAGATCAGAAATGTAGTCAGGCAAAACTAAGAATATGTAAAACCTGAAAAAAATTAGTGTAAATAAAAATGTAATTGTCAGCTAAGTATTTAAAATGTTACTGAAATCAGTTCTAACCAGTCTTAAAAAAAGCTTATCTATTTGGATGAAAAACTAGGAAAATGGCTACCCACTAGAATCAGATCTCAGAATTATGGAGAGCAGATATTGTCATCAATGAATATTTCAGACACTAGAGTAAGCAGTCCCACTTTCTCAAAGAACAAATGATAGCAATTAGATAGCCTTTAGCATCAAAAGGATTACCCAATACAGCTAATAAAATGACAGACATAAGTTACAAAGTTTTAGGATTGCAGAGGAAGAAACAGCATTACTGGTAAGACACATTTAAATTTGGGGCGGGGGGGAGGTAAGCAAAGCAAGCAAGATGTAAAATTTGGTGACATTTAAATGACTAAAAAGCTATAAAATTTCAAAGAACAATCTTGCTATTATGAGTGCACTATCCAGGCCAACAGCAGCAGTCTGTCTTTAATTCAATGTAAAGGAGGAATGGCAAGTGTCAGGCAGCTCAGTGCCTAATGATTCCTCAGCCACCAACAATGAAGGTGAGTATTCCCACATTGAGGGTGAGGCATCTGTGTTGCTTCCCAGTATTTCCTATTCGAAACTTGTCTGTCAATACATTTATAAAGGTAAATTATAAACATATGGAAACTCCTAAAAACTCTTTAAAAGTCATTTATTTCCATCTTGATGGCATTCAAGTTGAATCACAGGTCCATGATTCTTTTCTAATATAAACAATTTTAAAGATTTGGACTTAGATAAAAACGAAATTATTGATTTTATGGTAAAAACAACCTTGAAGAATTCTGGTGGTTCTTGAGAAATATCTATCCTTGTCATGTAATGGTGTTTATGGAAACTGTAATTCCAACTGCAAAACTTTTATCCTTGCAATACTTTTATCTTTTTAAAACACTTGTAACCAGCAAAACAAAACAAAAAATGCAAACAGTTGTTCATTTAACATGATATGCATATCTCATGGTCCAAGTCTATTGTATAGTTTATATTCTCATTCTGGCTAAGAAAAGCCTTTAGACCAGTGGTTCTCAACCTGTGGGTCGCCTAAGACCATCCTGCATATCAGATATTTACATTACGATTCATTACAGTAGCAACGAAAATAATTTTATGGTTGGGTCACAACATGAGGAACTGTATTTAAAGGGCCAGAAGGTTGAGAACCACTGCTTTAGACTGATTTTTTTTTTTAAGTTAACTTTACAATGTTACAGATTCCTACTCCATGCGATGCTATACCGTTCTAGGGCTTAAATAGCATCTTTATGTTTGTTACTCCAAAGGTTTATATCTAGCCTTGACCATTCCCCCTTATCTCCAGTATTATAAATCTCTATCAGTATATCTAACAGGGACAAAAAAGGACTTCTGACTCTCCTCCCTATGTGTCATTTCATTTGTCAAATCTATCTAAGAAGAGCATAGCTAGAAAACAAAGACTAATTTGAAAAGCCCCTGAATGACAAATTCCATGTTTCTAAGTATGTGTACTTTTTCATAATAAATTGCAATACACTGGTTTACCTGTTTTCTTAGTCCATGGCTTATTAGAAACAATAATTTTGAGAGTATGGTCAGGAAATCATACTAAAGGAGAGAGGTTTAGCAAAGTACCTCCAAATCAGCAAAATAACAACTGACAATGAAAGGAAGTTATTTTAAAACTGAGTGCCTATACCTGGCAACATCCTATAATATGCACTCTACTCACTAAATAGAATTAAACATGCACATAAACATCCACTTACACCATTTAATTTAGTCTTTACAACAATGCAATGAGAAAGAATAACTTCTGATTCAGAAATGAGAAAGATAAAGCTGAAGGGGCTTAAATAACATCTTCTAAGTCTCAATGTCCCCTGTTTATTTAACATCAAAGATAACTCTGCTTCTCAAAAAACTCTAAAAGACTTTATGAATAAATTAAAACTATTACAATTAGTGACCACTGATTGTGGATAAGACCATGCTAGATGATGCAGAGGGTATGAAGATGAGTAAGATGTTCATGCTGACCCTGGGGAGTTCCTCAGTTTAAAATAGATAAATATTTTTCATAAATAAACAGAAATAAATATTATATAGTACTAAATAGGAAATTACAAATATCACAGGAACGACAGAAGTTGTAAAAAGTTTTAAAGATGAGCAATATTTGCTTCTAACAAAATACAGGGTTTTGTTTTTTGTGGTTTTTTTTTAGAAAAGAAGCCAGGTAAAAAGGGTTGTAAAAGATGGGTAGGATGTGATATAAGGTGGACTGAAAAGAAGGGAGAAGCGAAGAATTTAGACTCAAAGAAGCAGAGGTGAGGAAACCTGAGATATGTACCCTATGTTTCAAGAAAAACAAAACTATATAGAGAGCCAGGGGAGATAGAACTGGGTAGCTAGACCATCAGTTATACTTTTACAAATTTCTCTTCACCATTCTCTGACTGACATTTGGCTTTGCCTTGGGGACTTGACACTGTGGCTCTTCCAAGCGGTGCCTGTGTTCTATCCTGTGCAGCTCATGGCCAGGAGGAACGGTAGGTGTCCTCTTTGAGCCTTACCACTCCAGACCATTCCTATTCCTTTTTAAAAATCAATCATCTCTAAATTTCAGGTCACTAAACTGTATTGTCTACTATCCTCCTTGTTGCAGTCACCGATCTTTGGGTCAGGGATCCTGGCTCCTTGTCATTCTCTCCATCATCACAGTTGTAAAAATTCTTGGTGATTTCAAAATTTACGTTGACAAAATCTTCTACTACTTCGTGGCCTTGATGTCTTTTCTCCCGATGATTTTCACCTCCTGCCACTCCCTATGCCTCCAAGAGCATTTAGAAATGTGTGTATGGGGGTACTTTTTGGTCATCATTCTGAATGGGAATTACGGTATTTTGTGTGTGGGGGTCAGGTTTGATACATATCCTGAAAAACAGTTCTGCACACTCGAACAGTATTCCTACTGAAAAATATTTATACTCTAGCTGGATTCTACTCAGACACTAAAACTTTCCAGGCCTATAAACCTATCACCCTCCATTATTTCACCCTCCCTCACATCCTTTCTTAACTATCTTAGATTCTGTGTCCCATTAATATAATCATCATCTTGTGCCTTTCTTGTTTAATAATACATAGGACAAAATCCTAACCCTAGCTAACCAAATTCTCCATGCCTGTACCACTTCAGCGGCAAAGTAGTAGGAAACAAACATACAACCACATCAACTGGTTTAATTTTAATTTCAGTATTCCTAACCCAAATAGGGTATTAGAGCTGCTTGGCAATTAAACCACATTTTCCTAGTCTATACACTTTCTTAGACCTTTGTTTCTCAAAGTGTGATCCACAGGCTAAGCATCACCTGTGAATTTAATAGAAATGAGGAACTTCAGGTTCTACTCTAAACCTTCATTTATCAGAACAAGCACCATAAACAATATCTCCAAGTGATTCTTAGGCCCATTAAAGTTTGTAAAGTACTACCTAGAAAACTGCTTCACACCTTTTCCTATTCTTAGATGGCCAACACTTCCCCCTCCTCCCTCACTCTCTACTGGTGGTTTATTTCACTGAAAAAACAGCAGCAAACAAAGGGCACCTTCTAGAAACTTCCTGCATGTCATCTATTCACCTGCCCATATCCATGTCCATATACTGAGTCTTCCCTGTTACCAAAGGTTAACTATTGGTTCCACAACTGAATCAAGTCCCCAATCTGTACACCAGATCCTATTTATCTCTTCTCATGTACTCAAGAACATTGACCCTGTAATTCATTCCCTCACCTTGAATTATTACTTTTCCCAGCTTCAATAGATTTAGCTGCACACATGCTCTGCCTCTCCCACCTTAAAATGAAAAACAAAAACAAACAAACATCCTACCATGGTCTCTTGACCCCATGCCCAGCACCACTGTTTCAGAGTTATCATCATTATCAACTATTTCCAATTATTTCCCCACCTTTCTCCTAAACCAGTGATGGCGAACCTTTGAGCTCAGCGTGTCAGCATTTTGAAAAACCCTAACTTAACTCTGGTGCTGTGTCACATATAGAATTTTTTTGATATTTGCAACCATAGTAAGAAAAAGATTTATATTTTTGATATTTATTTTATATATTTAAATGCCATTTAACAAAAAAAATCAACCAAAAAAATGAGTTCGTGTGTCACCTCTGACACGCATGTCATAGGTTCACCATCACTGTCCTAAACTCACTTCTATCAGGCTTTTGCATCTACTACTCTACCAACAACTCCATTATGTCTTTAAAAAATTCCATTTTTTGGTGTCTTCTTCAATGTTTTTAAATGTCTTCCAGTTATCAGTGTATAGGTCCTCCGCACCCTTTGCCAGGTTTGTTCTGAGGTATTTCATTCTTTTTGTTGGAATTGCAAAATAAATTGTATTTTTTTTTTCTTTTCTGAAATTTCATAGGTAGTATATAGAAATGCAATGGATTTTTGTGCATTGATTTTGTATCCTGCAGCCTTACTGTATTCGTTTATTGTTTCTAATAGTTTTTTAGTGGAGTCTTTAGGGTTTTCTATATAAAGAATCATGTATGCAAAAAGCGACAATTTTATTTCTTCATTCCAATTTGGATGCCTTTTCTTTCTCTTGCCTGATTGCTCTGCTTGGATTTATGGTACTATGCTGAATAACAGTGGTAAGAATGAATTTCCTTGTCTTGTTCCTAATCTTGCAGGAAAAGCTTTTGTTTCTCACCATTGAGTATGATAATGGTTTAGGGTTTGTCATATATGGCCTTTATTATGTGGTACTTTCCTTCTATACCTATGTTGGAGAGGTTGTGGGGGAAAAGGAACCCTCATTCACTAGGAATGTAAATTGGTACAGACACTATAAAAACAGGATGGAGGTGCCTCAAGAAATTAAGACTATAACTACTATATGACCCAACAACCCCTTTTTTGGGTATCTTCTGAAAAATGTGAAAACATTTATTTGTAAAGTTATATACACCCCTATGTTCACTGCAACATTATTCATGATGGCCAAGACATGGAAATAATCAAAGTGTCCCTCAGTAAATGATTGGATAAAGATATGGTACATATACACAGTGGAATACTACTCAATTATTTGCCATTCGCGACAACATCAATGGATCTTGAGTGTATCATACTAAGCAAAATAAGTCAGACAGAAAAAGCCAAGAGTCATATGAATTCACTTATATGTGAGATATAAAACTGAGAGCAACAAACCATCTTTTTTTTAGGGTTGTCTTACTGTCCAATGTGTAAAAGAAAATCAAAACTGAAAGCAACACATGAACATGACAAACAAACAAACACTCATAAACAGAGACAACAGTATAGTGGTTGCCAGAGGGAAAGGAGGGGAGGTAATAATGATTAAAAGATGTCAAATATTCGGTGACGGAAGGAGATTTGGCTTTGGGTAGTAAATACACAATGCAACATACAGATGATATAGAAATATACACTTGAAACCTATATAATTTTATTAACCAATGTCATCCTAATAAATTTAATAATAAAAATTCCTTAAATATCTTACGTATTTCTAACAATTAATCAAATTCAAAATAAGCCAGTATTAAAAACTGGTAGTATTCAAATCACGGGAAATAAAGATTGAAAATAAACTCGACTCTATTTTCCTCAAACATAACTGAGCTTTTAAAAAGAAAATAAACTATTCAAATCGTTTTATTAATAATGCTTACCTGGCTGAACATGGGTAGCCTGTAGAAAATATTTCAAAGCTCTCTCAAAGTTCTTTTCATTTTCCAGAGCATGACCCACATTATTCCATAATTTGGCATTATTTTTATTTACCTTAAACATACAAATACAGTTAGAAATTAATTACAATTAAAATATGACTCCAATTAACAGCTATTTGTTTGATATACTATTAGAAATGGAGCGGTCCATGGAGATGTCCATAAATGGGTGAAGGTGGTCCAAAGGTACATACTTCCAATTATAAGGTAAGTTAGTTTGGGGGATGTAATGTGCAACATGGAGACTATAGCCAACAATACTGTAATGTATATTTGGAAATTGGTAAGAGAGAAGATCTTAAAGGTTTTCATCAAGAGGAAAAAAAATGTCTAAATGTGTACGATGATATGTATTAACTAAACTTTTAATTATTTCATAATATATACATGTTATATATCTTAAAAAGTTTATGTCAATTATATCTCAAACAGGAAAAAAAATCATTTTGATTTTCTCCCAGAAAAAAAAATAATGACTTCAATTAATGAAGATACTCATTTCGTATACTACTGGAATACAGTGTTCCACTGAGATGCCCTGGATATGAGGAAGAAGCCAATGAACACTTCTTCACTCAATTTACCCTCTCTCTCCTTTCAACATCAACATACTAAAACCACAGCAGTTTAAGTTCATCTATTTTATATATTAGAATTTTACTAAAAATTTTATTTAATCAAAGCATAGTGCTATTTGAAAACTCTACTTGTATTCTTTTGGAAGAAGAGATATTTGACTATGAGAATACATTTAAACATTGCACTAATTACTTACTTTTAGGCTGGACTTACTTATGTAGTTTATTATTGAAAGGGAACCCCAAGACTAAAGTTCTAAGTGATCTGTACTTTCAGAGTTAACAGATGGGCATGGTGTTACTGCAGGTAGAGGAGGGTATCTAGCTAGCCAAGGTATTAGCTACAGTGATTGAGGCTGTCGTTTTGAGCATTGTCCTGTGAGTAAGGACAAGCAAAGTTCCTGAAAACCATGGGGCTCCACTGGTAATCTGAAAGGGGAATTAATAATAATGGAAATGAGGTCTCATCTGTTTGCAGATTTCTGAGCTAGGGGAGACAGTAGAGTTACTTAGCAGTAAAGAGGACAGTCATTTGACCTTAAATAGATGTCAAATCAAGAAATGAGGCAGTGATCCAATAAAGTTAGGCAATGGAGAGTACTAAAATAGCCAAAAGGAAGTTAAGAATTTACTGATTTGAAGAGAGGCACTGGCAAGGGAGCACCTGAAAAAAAAAATTTTTGCTTTTAACTTTTATAGAAAACAAATTTTATGATTTTTTAAAAGACCTTATCCGAAAGAAGGCAAAAACCACCGAGGTAATAAAAGCTTAAGAGGGGGGAAAAATAACAACAAACCCCCCCCCAAAAAAAGCCTTATCCTATTTATATTGCTCATCCATAGGAATGCTGTATCAATCCTTTCTGCCAGTTCCTATCCTTCCTATAGGATTTTAAAAAAATTTATCTTTATTGTTAGAAGTATTACAGATGTTTTAACCATTGGTTGGTTATCTTCCACATAGTAGGTTGCCATTTTTTTGGTCATGTATGTTAATTTCATTGAATGTAACACGGCATCAATTTTATAAGAAACAAGGTAACAAATTAATTGTAAGATACCTTTCACTATAAGATTTATTATAATTTCAGGTATTAAAAGGTTAAAAAATGTGTACCTTAAGAACCAATGAACACAGCACTCTTATTTAAACATGTCTCATTTGAGTTTCTAATGACTGTATAGTGTTTAAGGAATTATTCATATGTGTTGTGGACATACAGGTCAGTACTATTAAATGCACTGGTTAAGGTATCCTATCTAATAAAAGAGAAACATGGTAATTAGCTGTACCTCCGCTACCCTTCCCATTGGCTAATCAGGACGATATGCAAATTAACTGCCAGCTAAGATGGCGGCCGGCAGCCAGGCAGCTTGAAGCGAACATGAGGCTTGCTTGCTTCAGTGACGGAGGAAGCCAAAGTTCCCCGCCTGCCGCTGCCAGCCTCTGAGCTTGCAGTTTGAAACACTGTTACAAATATAGAAACTAAACAAACTCCAGAAACCTGCTTTCAGCCAGCTGGGATCTCAGAGCTGGAGTTGAAACAGTGTTTCTATTATAGAACCCAAACAAACCAGATACCTGCTTTCAGCAGTCAAGGCCTCAGAGCAGGAGCCAAGCCTCAGAGCTAAAGCTGGCCCAGAATAAAAAAAAAAGAAAAAGAAAAAAAGGAGCGGTTGGGAGCTTCAGTCACCCGCCAGCCTGAAAACAGCCCTCAGCCCCTCACCCAGACTGGCCAGGCACCCCAGTGGGGACCCTCACCCTGAAGGGGGTATGACCAGCTGCAAACAGCCATCAACCCCTCACCCAGGCTGGCCAGGCACCCAAGCGGGACCCCAACCCTGATCCAGGACACCCTTCAGGGCAAACCAGCCGGCCCCCACCCATGCAACAGGCCTCTATCCTATATAGTAAAAGGGTAATATGCCTCCCAGCACCGGGATCAGCGGAGCCGCGAGGCCTCCTGGCACCGGGATCAGCGTGACAGGGGGCAGCGCCCAAACCCCCTGATCGCCCTGCGGCTCTGTGTGTGACAGGGGGTGGGGCCACAACCTCCCTATCTGCCCTGCTCTGTTCGTGACAGGGGAAGGCGCCCCAACCCCTTGATCAGCCCTGCTCTGTGCCTGATAGCGGGGAGCTCCCCAACCCCGATTGCCCTGTGGCTTTGTGTGTAACAGGGTGCGGTGCCCTAACCCCCCCCCCCCCCACGGGCTCTGCTCTGTGTGTGATGGGGTAGAGCCATAACTTCCCCATCGGCCCTGCCCTGAGTGTGACAGTGGCGGCACCCCAACCCCCTGATCGGCCCTGCTCTGTGGGTGATAGAAGGCAGCGCCCCAACCGCCCCCCACGGGCCCTGCTCTGTGTGTGACGGGGTAGAGCCATAACCTCCCCATCGGCCCTGCCCTGAGTATGACAGGGTGCGGCGACCCAACCCCCTTATCCGCCCTGCTCTGTGTGTGACAGGGGTCGGTGCCCCAATTCCCTATCGGCCCTACTCTGTGAGAGGGGGAAGCTCCTCAACCCCCTGATCGGCCCTGCTCTGTGCGTGACAGGGGGGAGCTCCCCAACCCCCTGATCGACCCTGCTCTGTGCGTGACAGGGGACGGAGCCCCAACCCCCTGATGGGCCCTGCTCTGTGCGTGACAGGGGGCGGCGCCCCAACCCCCCAGTCGGCCTTACCCTGAGCGTGACTGAGGGTGGTATCGCAACCTCCCAATCCGCCCTGCTCTGTGCATGACAGGGGTCGGCGCCCCAACTCCCCAATCAGCCCTGCTCTGAGCCCGACCAGGGGCTGCACCTAGGGATTGGGCCTAAGCCAGCAGGTCGTTATATCCCGAGGGGTCCCAGACTGCGAGAGGGCACAGGCCAGGCTGAGGGACCCCCCCCCTCCCCCCGAGTGCACAAATTTTTGTGCACCTGGCCTCGAGTATTATATAAAGAACAAACTATATTTTTTTTAGTGAAGTAATTAATAATGATAGTTAAATGTCTAATTAAAAGCAAAGGTAAAGCATCTTAGATATGGCTATAAAAAGTAATTGATGACATACTTTCCTGTCATTCTTGGATAATACTTTACCTTCAAGGCTGACATAAACAACGTATATTCAGACTCCCAATCCCAATTTCTGTGGATTGTTTTTAAGGCATGAGTGAATACCACCAAAGACAGACAAACCCAGGATAACTTTTTAAATACACTGTTTAAGAGAATAAAAGAAAAAAAACAAGAAAAATTCTTATCACCCAAAGCATTTTATCTTTTAGAACAGAAGAAATATGTTAAATATCCCCAATGTCATGTCTGAATTTATTCTAAGAATAGAGATTGTTCTAATAATCATCCTACTTCAGAGGGACCAACGCCAAAAACTTAAATAGCTGAATACTACCTTCCACTTCACTCTTCAATTACATTAAATACTCTAATATTTACCTCTATTTCTAAAGCATTGTTTAGATTTAATAAAAAGTTGATGAAGCCAGCTTTTAATTATGAATTTTTATATTTAGAGTCCTTTGTACCATTACCTACAACATGAATATTCTTACTTGCATTTAAAAAGGGTGAACCTTATCACTGGCTACATTTAAAAACATTTCTGCTTACAATTAATATACCATAGGTTATCATGACATTCTTGGAATAATTTTACATTTTAAAACTAGAACTGTTTATTAAAAGTCATAGTAAACTTAACTCTTTGTAAAATAGATGCACATTACTTATATACTTTAGGCTAATTATTTGGGACTCAATTCGTCTATAAAAAAGATGATTATACTTCAATAATCCCTATGATCTCATTTAGTACTAATGTTCTTTAACTCTGTGTTTTTGCCCTGGTAACACAGTTCAATTTATTTCATTTTGATAGACACACTTAACCAGAATATGAGTGCATGCATCAGAAAGAACATGGAATAGGAAATAGTCAGATGTACATTTGAAGACTCTGCTATTTACTAGCTGTGTGATCCTGCATAATACAGGTAACCTGTATGATCTTTAATTTTAAATATGTGCAAAACAGAATTAAGGAGTATCAAGAATGAAATGAGAAAATAAATCCAAACAGTCTATCAGGGCATCTGATACATGGTAGGCACTAAAAAATTGGTATTGATTAAAATAGGATATATGGGTCAAAGCTAAGGGAGAAGGTTTGGTAGATAGTAATGAAAATTGTAGACACAGAAGAGATCATACAGGGAAAATATGCAGTGTGAAAAAAATGGCTACGGTAAAACTCTGAGAAATAATATTTAAAGAGCAGGCAGAGGAAGAAGAAATCAGAGAAAAGAGAGAGCAGAAATAAAAAGATATAAAAAAGAATCAAGAGAGAAAGACTTTTTACAGATGCCTGGGAAATAAATTTTAAATACAAGCACTGACCAAATTTAGCTACCAGGAGGCAATTTATTATCTGTGTTAGTAGATGATACAGAGAGAAGTCAGAATTCTATGTGCTGAATGGTGACTGGAAGTGAGAAAGAAGAGACAGTGCTCATTTCTTGTATACATACAGCTAACTATTCTGTTCCTTAACTGTTAGTTTAAGGCAATTACGACATGGTGGTTATGAAGATAGTAATGACAGCATGAAATTATAGTACTCACAGTTGTGCGTACACAAAACAGAGTTTATTCTAGTATTATTTATTGTTATATTATTTTCCATGTGAACAATTGTAAACCTACTTTTTATATATAACTGTACATTTTATATATGACTCACTTAAGTAAGAAGATTATATTTTAGTTCATTGCATATAAAGTGGCAATGGTCATTTTTAACTTTAGTTTCAATAATATCCTTGTTTTCATTTGGGTCTGACTCAAAGTTTATGTCTCAGCCTGCAAAATAAAATTATATCAATATGGAGAACATAAGATGCAGTAGATGCTATGGAGCTTTCCTAACCTGAATTACACAAAAATGAGACTATCAAGATGAAAAATAGAAATGTATAAAAGTATGACTTATAAAACTGAATTAAAATAAACTTATTTAAATGTATCACATTTGATTTTATAGTTAGTCGCATGAAATAAATATTTAAATTCACCTTTTGTTTGATATTTTGTGCCATCCATGGGCTACCAAAATACAGAATCCCATGCTAGGAACATATAATACTCGTTCAGCAACAACAAATCCAACTGGAAAAAAAAGGTTCGATGCAGGAATAAATGGTAATGCCATTAAACAAAGCGCCTACAAAGAAAAAGAAGATATTTTATTAAATTAAACATATATGAACACTCAAGAGTCAAATCCAAATATTTTGTCATTTAATTTGGAAATGTACTGGTGGTCAAAAAAGAACTATTTTTAAAAGCCAGTTTTTATGTTACTACTAGAGGCCAGGTGCACAAAATTTGTGCGGGAGGGGTGGGGGGTGGAGTTCCCCCTCAGCCTAGCCTGCTCCCTTTCCAATCCAGGACCCCTCGGGTGATGTCCAACTGTCGGTTTATGTCCTCAGGACCGGCAGTTGGACATCCCTCTCACAATGCGGGACCACTGGCTCCTAACTGCTCACCTGCCTGTCTGCCTGCCTGATCGCCCCTAACTGCCCCCTGCCCCTGCCAGCCTAGTCGCCCCCAACTGCACTCCTGCTGGCCTGGCCACCCCATACAGCCTGCTGCTCAGTTGCTGGTCGGCCCTCACTAACCCCCCTGCTTTGTCCTGGTTGCCCCACGCAGCCTGCTTGTTCCGTCATTTCGTTGTCCCTCACCAACCCCCCTGCCGGCCTAGTTGCCCCACACAGCCTGTTCGGTCGTCCATTTGGTTGCGATGGTTGCTTACGCTTTTATTATTTTAGATTATAAGTAACCACATCATCTTGGAAATTAATAAGGTGTGTTTCAGACAAGACAGCAGACTATAACTTTAATACCTCAGCATTACTTTGCATTATATTCTGATGAGTCACATACATGTAACATAAGCTTAGTATATGTTTAAGAATAAAACTGCCTCCCTTTAAAACAATAGTCTTTTAGTCTTTTTTTCCTAAGACTTTGAAGAAATACTATGCTTGAAGCCACTGCCTGACTGGCAGTCTTTTCTTACTTAGGCAGGCAATAATTCCAAGCTTGTTTTATCCTCTGAAATATTCGGTTAAGTTAAATGACCCCAACAGATTATCTACACTAGCAATCTTCACTTCCTCATCTCCTAATCAAATCACTCCACAGAAATAAATTTCACTAAAGTAACTAACACACCTAAAAGAGGTCAACTCCAACTTTTCTACCCGACAGCACTGTTAGTGTTTGGCATTCTGTCTTTCTTGAAACTTTCCTACTCTTCTGTCCATTTATTTGGTCTAGCTGCTATTTAGGTTTATTGTCCTCTGCAATTCTAAATGATGGAAATTTTTCAGACCTAGTAGTAGGCTTCTTCTCTTTCACTTTATTCAGGCCCTTCAGCTATTTTCTGAGAGAGAATTGTGACCAAATACTCTAAGGCAGCCCTTTAAATACAGTTCCTCATGTTGTGACCCAACCATAAAATTATTTTCGTTGCTACTTCATAACTGTAATGTTGCTACTGTTATGAATCATAAATGTAAATATCTGATATGCAGTCTTAGGCCACTCCTGTGAAAGGGTCGTTCAACCACCAAAGGAGTTGCGACCCACAGGTTGAGAACCGCTGCTCTAAGGCATTCATTATAAGTATGAATGAACCATTCTATGAATCTAGAATCTACTAGCTAGTTACCATCTTTTAGAAATGTGAAAAAACCCCAGTTGAGAAAGGCTGCTCAAAAATGTCTCTACAGGCCTTTTTATCCACATTCTGGTTTCAATTTCTATCTCTATGCCAACTAATCAAATTTTTATCAGTAGCTTAGGTTTCTCTGAGCTCTAGGTACAAAGTGATATTCAAAATCTTCACTACACTAGGATGTTTCAAGGGTACCTAAACTCAACAGGTCTGAAGATAATAGTAAATATAATCTTTCCCCTAAACCCTTTATTCTATCGATCTTCTCTTTATCTCAGAAATAGGCTTTAAATTTTTCTAGAATAAAATTTCCCTGGAAATGAGGACTCGGAATTTCTTTTTATTATATCATTAGTGTCCAAATGCTGCCTGGTATATAGGTTGCAATAAAAAATTTTAATATATTCAATAAATCTAGTGGCTGCAAATTGAAAAGAGATAGTTGCAAATTATTAAAAACACTTTTGAGTAAATGCTCATGAAAGAATTAAAGACTATTAACATCTTCAGTAATTTGAAAGAAGGGAATTATAACTATTATGAATAAGAAGTGAGGGCAGAATAGCCCTAACTGGCTAGGCTCACTGGATAGAGCGTTGGCCTGGGGACTGAAAGTCCCAGGTTCAATTCCAGTGAAGGGCAGATGCCTGCGTTGCAGGCTTGATCCCCAGTAGGTGATGTGCAGAAGGCAGCCAATCAACAATTCTCTCTCTTCATTGATGTTTCTCTCTCTCTTCCTTCCTCTCTAAAATCAATTTTATATATATTGATATAGAGGCCACACACACACACACACACTAGAGGCCCGGAGCACAAAAATTTGTGCACTCAGGGGTAGGGGAGTCCCTCAGCCCGGCCTGTGCCCTCTCGGTCTGGGACCCCTCGGGGGTGACCACTTGCTGGCTTAGGCCTGCTCCCCGGAGGGATTGGGCCTAAGATGGCAAGCAGACATCCCTCTGGCAGCCCGGCAGCCCTTAGGGGATGTCCATTTGCCAGCGGGGAGCAGACCTAAGCTGCTGTCAGACATCCTTAGCGCTGCTGAGGAGGCAGGAGAGGCTCCCACCACCACTGCTGTACTGGCAGCCATCAGCCTGGCTTGTGGCTGAGCAGAGCTCCCCGCTGTGAGAGCGCACTGACAATCAGAGGGCAGCTCCTGCATTGAGCGTCTGCCCCCTGGTGGTCAGTGTGTGTCATAGTGACCAGTCATTCCCAGTCTTTCTGCTGTTAGGGTCAGTTTTCATATTACCCTTTTACTATATAGGATAGAGGCCTGGTGCATGGGTGGGGCCGGCTGGTTTGCCCTGAAGGGTGTCCTGGATCAGGGTGGGGGTCCCGCTGGGGTGCCTGCCCAGCCTGGATGAGGGGCTGATGGCTGTTTGCAGCTGGTCACACCCCCTTCAGGGTGGGGGTCCCCACTGGGGTGCCTGGCCAGTCTGGGTGAGGGGCTCTCCAGTGAAGTTCTTCTGTCTCTAGAGAATGTTCTGTGTAGGTTCTGTGCCTAGGTTCTGTCTCTCTTGGTTCCGTATCCTAAGTTCTGTCTCTTGCTGTCTTATTACATCTGTATTTATACCAGTTGATTCAATCCTATCAATCTTTATTACAAAGGTTAGGGCGTTTCTTATCTCCATTCCAGGGAGTAAAGATTATGTAGCTTAAGCATGATTGTTCGTAGTTAAAATGATTAATTACCCACCTGGCACTAGTTAAGAGGTTTTATTCCCTCCCTAACTTCAGGGGAAAATCCCTACCTGGGGAAACAACCTTTCTCAGAGAGGAGACCTTGGTTAAAACACACAGTGCCAAGAAGGCGAGCAAACACATCAAGAACAGTATGCCATATATGCGAGGTCCCTTGAAACAGCAAGCATGGACCGGCTCCCAGCAGGGCTGAGGGCCGTTTCCAGGCTGGCGGGTGACTGAAGCTCCCAGCCTCTTTTTTTTTTCTTTTCTTTTCTTTTTTTTCTGGGATTTATTTACCTTCTATGGCTGTCATTGGAGCTGAGAGCCGGCTCCAGCTCTGAGGCCAAGCTCCAGCTCTGAGGCCGTGGCTGGCTGAAAGCAGGTATCTGGGTTTGTTTAGCTTCTATAATTGAAACTCTGTTGCCATCACTGGCGCTCTAAGCTCTGAGGCCCCGGCTGGCTGAAAGCAGGTATCTGGGGTTTGTTTAGCCTCTATAATTGAAACATTGTTGCTTTCAGACTCAGAGCTGGGTCGCGGCAGGCGGGGAACCTTGGCTTCCTCCATCACTGGAGCAAGCAAACCTCCTGCTCGCTTCAGCTGCGTGGCTGCCGTCCGCCATCTTTGTTGGTAGTTAATTTGCATATCCTGCTGATTAGCCAATGGGAAGCATAGCAGAGGTATGGTCAATTACCATGCTTGTCTATTATTAGATAGGAGATATATATATATATAAAGTGAGGGCAGAATAAGAAATTTACAAAGAACTGGACTTCAGAAAAACAACAAAAAGACTTCCAGAGTTCTCTGAACAGACTAAGAAATACCTTAGGGAGTAATGATAATCTTGCTAATGAGAATTAAAGTGCTATATGTTTCTAGCTGCACATCTTAGATGACACTCTTCTCTGTGCCAAAAAAACAAAGAAGCATACAATATGATCTATTTCTTCAAAAAGTATATAATCTAGTTATGTAAAACGGTAAAAAATTGCCAGGAGCCGGTCCATGCTTGCTGTTTCAAAGGACCTGGCATATATGGCATACTGCTCTTAAAATGTTTGCTCACCTTCTTGGCACTATGTGTTTTAACCAAGGTCTCTGAGAAAGGTTGTTTCCCCAGGTAGGGATTTTCCCCTGAAGTTAGGGAGGGAATAAAACCTCTTAACTAAGTGCCAGGCGGGTAATTAATCACTTTAACTACGAACAATCGTGCTTAAGCTACATAATCTTTACTCCCTGGAATGAAGATAAGAAACACCCTAACCTTTGTAATAGAGATTGATAGGATTGAATCAACTGGTATAAATACAGATGCAATAAGACAGCAAGAGACAGAACTTAGAACTCAGAACTTAGAACACAGAACTTAGAACTCAGAACTTAGAACACAGAACCAAGAGAGACAGAACCTAGGCACAGAACCTACACAGAACGTTCTCTAGAGACAGAAGAACTTCGCTGGAGAGAACATGGCAAAAGTTCCTGGACAGAAACTGGCCTCAGAACCTAGAGACAGAACCTAGCGAGAGAACATGGCAAAAGATCCTGGACTGAACCTGACTACAAAAATTGGCAAGAGAACCCGACTAGAACCTGGTGACTGAACCTGGCTGGAGAACCTGGACAGAACCTGGCTGGAGAACCTAGCAAGAGAACATCGACACAGAACCTGGCTGGAGATCCAAACCAGAACTTCACTGGAGATCCTAAGCAGAACTTCGCTGGAGATCCAGACCAGAACTTGGCTGGAGATCCTGGCTGGAGAAATTAAGAAAATGATGCCAAAAGAGATGCCTCATGATTTCAGAGTTCCTACCAAATTAGGAAAATTTATATATTTTTTAACATTCTAAATACATTTCAAATTATACCTGCATATCAAATTCTGATATATAATTTTAGGATAACCCAAAATAAGTTCACAAATTAAAAAAATGAAGAATGTTCCTTACCATTAAAACAGTTTTGGAGGAATTACTGGGATATCTGAGACTGAATACTCCCAAAGCTCCCAAAAAACAAAAGAAAGTGAATGTGGCAACATTTCGAATATCTAGAAATGACTCTATAAGTGGTATTGTTCCCATGGTCCAGTCACAGCAGAGCTCTGAAGGATTTAATAGAAGCCAAGCATTGACAGGAAGGAGGTAGTTGAAAGTTAGCTGCCTCGTAGGAGTTGGGCTTACAGCAGCTGGGTTATCAAACCTGTATAAAGAACAACAACAACAAAAAAGTTATTCAAACTAAACCACTTTCTAAACATAAAATTAATATATAACTAAAGCACTAAATAATAATAAAAGCAATAAAACAGAAGACATAAGTATTTTTTATGAATACCTAAGATTTCTGCCAGAAGTTAAAGTGTTTAATCTTTATGGAATGTGATTAAAGGGCAAGAAGGTTATCTATTTCTAGTTTTTCTTATTAGAATAATTCATTCAGAAATGCATACTACAATATTATGATACTATAGAAGCACTATTATTAAATTATGACCTTCTGATTAAAAATAGTAAGAAAAGTTGGGTCAGATTCATTATTGCATGTGATGTATGAATGCTCCTGGAAAGTTTCTTTCAGCACTAAATGCTAAAAAATTACGCTCCTAGAAAAAATTACTATGTTCTTCTCTTGTCATAGGCAGAGACCCTATATCACTTATGAGCTTTTCGTGTATGTTTAGACTTCTATAATGCTAAAAACCAAATTTTCAGCAGAGTACTAACTATATAGGACTATGTAACATTTTATTTGTGTTCTATTTTTTCTCCTAGTATCTATAATAATAAAAGCGTAACATACTAATTATACCAGACGTCCTTCTGGATGACGTTCCGGATGAAGTCAGGGCTGCCAGGAAAGCCCGGGTCCCGGGTGCCAGAGGGAAGCTGGGTGCTGGCAGCTGGGGGAAGGCCTACTCTTGCATGAATATCGTGCATTAGGCCTCTAGTATATTAATATAAGCTTATGTCCTAGTTTATATTTCCCCAGGCCATGATATATTTAATGTACATTTTATTAAGATAGTCTACTTCTTGAAAACCAAGTCAAATCATTTTTTACAAGTACATTTCAAAAGAATGACTTCCTTTTATTTATGCTATGTTCTAAATTTTATTGACTATATTAATATACATAGTCCTGTTAAAAAATAATTTTTCATTTTAAAATGAGTAAGTTAATGAAAAATCAACCTCTACCATTTGTTTGACTTGGTCTTCTTAAAAATATCAAATGATTGAGAAAAGTAGATAATATTTAAAAAAATATTTTTTTAAAAAATTTAAATTTATCATTTAAATTTTTTAAAAAAATATTTTAATATCTATATATATGAAAAGTAATAAATCTTGAGAATTAGGGCTTAAATTCTTAAATAACCAACAGAACTGAATACAAAACTTTGTTTTTTTCCTGTAATCCACTATTCAGAGTTTATTTATTATAACGAATAACTTATTTAGGATAGCTGATTTAATAATTGAACTGTAGAGAAAGAGAGCATGTCAAAGCAAATTAAATCATATTATAATCAACTTCATAGGGTAAGATAGCAGAATAATATTTACATATACACACACAAATATATACTTATATTTAACATACCCCATACACTCAGCTACACATATATACATACACAAAACAAATACATTCAGACATTTTCATACTGTAGAGTTAGAAACAAGATATCCAATTTTCTAAAAGAAATGATAAACGGAATAAAAGCATTGAAACTAAGGGGTGAAGAAGAAAACATAAACTATCTATCTACAATTCAATCTATTTCCCATACTTTAATACTTAAATGAGTTGTTCACTTTTGCATGGCTAGACCTGAAGGTAAATATTCAAGAAGTTAAAAAATAATTGTCCTTTAATGAAAAAGATAGTGTTGGACATACGAGAATTATCTGAGTAAAATTTATTCTGAAAAGAAACGCACTTTATCATGGATAGCAACAAGAACACTATTTTGGCCTTTTGTTAAAATAAATAAATAAATAAAAAGTTCTTGCTTATAATGTCAGCCATGTAAATAAAATTCATTTAAATTTTAGCCAAGTATGGTGAAATGGAAAAAAAATGTTAAATGTTACAACAGTAAAAAATGACATGTAGATTATTAAAATTCAGTGCAAATTTTGCTTGTAGCCTTCAACAACTGAAAAACTGGACAAAACATATAAAGCTTTTTTTTTTTTAAATCCTCACCCGAGGATATTTTTCCATTGACTTTTAGGGAGAGTGGAAGAGAGAGGGAAAGACAGAGAGAAACATGGATGTGAGAGAAACACACTGATTGGTTGCCTCCTGCACAAGCCCCGACCAAGGGCCTGGGCTGGGGAGAGCCTGCAACCAAGTATGTGCCCTTGACCAGAATCCAAGCGGGATCCTTTGTTCCATAGGCCAATGCTCTATCCACTGAGCCAAACTTGCTAGGGCTATAAAGCTTTTTTTTTTTTAAACACACTGAATATCAAGTAAAGAAGGACAGTAATATCTGGGAGAAAAAAAACAGCCCTACTGGGAGAGGTTAGTACCTGGATAGAGTTTTTTTAGTCTGTGGAGCTGTGAGGGAGAACCCAGGCAGAGTCCAGGGAACTAGAGTTAGTGAGCAGAATATCATCAAGAATAAATGTGCTGAGAAAGACGACTCAGGAGATCTATAAAGAGTCTCTCTCCAGTTTTCAATACTGATGAGAACTTGAAGAAATACTCAAGGTTAGTGTCGTGGGTTGAATCGTGTCTCTCACAAATTCATGACTACCCAGCACCCCAGAATGTGACTTAATTTGGAAATAGGGTTTTTAGTTAATATGAGGTAATACTAGGTTAGGCTGGACGATGAATCCAGTGACTGCTATTGTTATACAAGAAGCAGAGAATACAGAGAAACACACAAGTAAAGAAGATTGAAGTGCTGCAGCAACATGCCAAGGAATGCCAAAGATTGTCAACAACCACCAGAAGCTTGCAAAGAGGCATGGAACAGATTCTTCCTCAGAGATCTCAGAAGGAAATCACTCTGGCCCGACACCCTGATTTTGGACTTCTGGCCTCCAGCATGGCGAGAATAATTTCTGATGCTTTAAACCACCCAATTTCTGGTAATTTGTTATAGCAGCTCTAGGAAAACTAATACAAATAGGACAGTACCTCCTGAAAGGATGACAGAAAAATCCCCAAATATCATACAGAGTTGGGAACAGTTTCTCAGCAGCAGCCAGAGTGGAAATCCTTACAATTCACAGTTCATATGGTAGTCAGAGGGTCATGTGTCAGAAGTGGAGCAATATTAGCCCTAAGGAAACGCTACTGTTATCTCACGAAACAAAACTTAAAAAAGCAAGGTTAGCCCTGGCTGGTCTGGCTCATTGGACAGAGCATTGGCCTATGGACTGAAGGGCCTGGGTTTGATTCTGGTCAAGAACACATGCCCGGGTTGCGGGCTTGATCCCCAGTGTGGGGCGTGCAGGAGGCAGTTGATCAATGTTTCTCTCTCATCCTGGATGTTTCTATCTCTCTCTCCCTTTCCCTTCTTCTCTGAAATCAAAAATATATTTTAAAAAACATCTGAGTCTATTCCTTTAAAAAAATAAATAAATAAAGAGCAGCCCTAGGCAGTTTGTCTCAGTGGATAGAGCATCAGCCTACGGACTGGGACTTGGCTTGATCCAGGTTGTGGGCTTGATCCCCAGTTTGGGGTGTGGGCTTAATCCCCTGTGTGGGGTGTGCAGGAGGCAGCCAATCAATGATTCTCTCTCATCATTGATGTTTCTATCTCCTTCTACCTTCCTCTCTAAAATCAATTTTAAAAAAAAGCAAGGCTAGAAGATGAAACTTTATATATATATAAAACAAAGTATATGCTATTTATAGAAAAACATTAAGGTAATGTTTTTCAGAACAAGGTATATGCTATTTATAGAAAAACATTAAGGTAAATTTCACATATGGTATCTATTAGAAAATTACCAGGAACGTGAAGAAGTTGAAAAATATAATCTATGAGGAGAAAATTCATTTAATCTAAATTGAATAAGAAATGACACATGATAAAATTAGTGGACAGGAACATTAAACATGTAGAGACATGGAACACACAAAAAAGGCTCAAGTAGAAGTTTTACTTGAACAAGATGGTAGATTTACATCAAATTATATCAATAATCATATTAAAGGTAAGTAACTGAAAAACTTCATTTAAAAGACAGATAATCTGACCAAACAAAAAAGAAAGACCCAACTCTATGCAGACTACAAGAAATCCACTTTAAATATAAAAATATAGATGGATTAAAAAGTAACAGGATGGAAAAAGTTAAACTATGTGACACTAAAAGAAGCTCATTTAATAATTATAAAGGGATCAATTCACTAAAAGAAAATTACAACCCAAAATATTTATGCACATTAATAGAGCTTTTAAACACACACACACAAAAAGATTAAACTGAAAGGGAAAACAGACAAACCTACAATCATAGTCTGAGATTTTTAACATCCTTCTCAATAATTAATAGAACAAGTAGACAAAAATCATTAAGAATACAGAAGACTTCATACTTTACCAATTTGAGGGTCATTGTATCTTGACTGTGCTGGTTTCATTAGTGTATATGTATCTCAAAATTTATTAATTTCTACATTTTAAATATATGCAGGTTTAAAAAATTAATTATAACTTAAGAAAGCTGTTAAAAACCTCAATGTAAACTGAAGACTTGGGTGGTGAAGGCCTGGGGTGGAGGGCGAGGGCAGGCTGGGGGGGGCGAATGGGGGAAAAAGGGAACATATGTAATACTTTCAACAATAAAGGTTTATAAAATTAAAAAACAAAAGATTTATAAAACAAAAAAGGTGCAATGAGAAAAAAAAAACACCCTGAAGACTTTCTGGAATATTTGCAATCACTTAAAATCCAAAGTGAATTTTAAAAGGATAGAAAAACAACAACAACGACACAGAAATTCATACCTGGTGAACACTGGAAGTTGAGACTGAATAATCTGGACTCTAATCACAACCAGTAATAATGTACTGAACATCAAAACAATGAGTTTTACTAATGTCTGCAGCATAGAAAATGGAATACTACTCTTGCCACGGAGAAACTGTCCAGCAGTAGTACATAATAATGGTAAAGTATACTGGAAAAGAAAAAAAAATGTTTTAAATAAATAACCATGTACAACAATGTTTTCAACAATGTAGTACTTTCTAAATGCAAGATTAAATAGAAACTGACTGTAATTATAAAATCGATACGGAACAATTTGTGGAACTGTAAAGTATTATTGTAAAGTATTCCAAATTGCTTACAATTCCATTATTTAAACTTTAAAAGCAGCCTTTAAAAAGCTGAAGGTGTTAAAATGTTAATACTTTTCAGTGGTGTGAGGGAAAACATGCTTGTTTCTTGAAAAAATTTGGTATTTTTATTATTATTATTGGTCAACAGATTTATTTGCATAATGATACGTTTAGAAAGTAAGTTTATTATAATCAGATCCAAATGGGATAAAAGAGAGCATCAAGAAAATTTATATTTCTCCTTACCCCCTGAGCAATAAATACTTCATACACACAGCAAATTCCCACAACTGTTATTCCTTGTTCTTTACACAATGTTGCAACAGCCACTAAAAACACTGTCAATGCAATTGGAGTCCATACTGCAATTTAAGAAGAGAAAAATATAAATTGACACAAAAAATTTTATAATATCACAAAAGGATATTTAAAGTTACAACTATTAGACATTATTCAAAAACTTTACTTGTGATTCTATATTCACATTTGTGCTATTTCCCAATGACTTACACTTTATATTTTAAAATGTACCAGTATAAGTAATTTATGCTTTGAACATTAAAAATAAAACATCAAGTTATATAATTTAAACTAAAATGTTTTTGTGGAGATAAAGATTATCTAACCAAATACTAACTTTTAAAACAAATGTAGGGTGGCCAATTTGGAGAAGAGAAACTTACAAGCTTGAATGTCATGATTAATGATCAATTTGAAATAAAGACAAATACCTAAAGTTAACACACAGATATAAACATACTTCATTTACTAAAAACCTGAAACTAAAAACTACTAGGAAAGGGAGAATACCATTCTTACTAAAAAGACTAGAAAAACTGAAACAGGTTAATAGTAAGAATATAAATCAATACCGTTATTTTAAAAATTCACAATAAAATATTCACATTTCTATTTAAATGAAAAATCGACATCAAGTTTAAGTATGTTTACTACTCAGTAATTTAATTAAAGAACAATGACTTGTGAGAGTAATTCTGGATCTACTAATAACTTGCTTTGTGACACTGGGCAACTGTTCTGAGCTTCAGTTTTCTTACTGGAAATATGACTTTCATTTTATCCAGTTAAAAAAAAGTGGTAGTATGATATGTGACCTCATTTTTTACTCATTAAAAATACTAATCAAAGCAAAAACTCAAATAAATGACTTATAACCAGGAGGAAATAAGAACACAACTCATGTATCTAATTTATTTTCTTTAGACTTAGGCTTAATATAGAAATTCATCTATTTTTGAAATTGTTTTTAATTTTAATGTATATTCTATAGATTAAAATTACTGAAAGTAAAAACAACTTAAAAAAAACAAAACACTGTTGGGGATACTAAGTATAATAGTATTTGTTCCTTGAAAAAATTGTCTGAATACTTTACAATACAGGCCAAAACCATCAATAGTGGTAAACATTCCTAGCTGGTTTGGTTCAGTGGATAGAGCGTTGGGTCCCGGCTTCAATTCCGGTTAAGGGCACATGCCTGGATTGCGGGCTCGGCCCCCAGTAGGGGGTGTGCAAGAGACAGCCAATCAATGATTCTCTCATCATTGATGTTTCTATCTCTCTTTTCCTCTCCCTTCCTTTCTGAAATCAATAAAAATATTTAAAAAAATATTGGTAAACAAATTATACCAAGGACTGAAATATCATGCTAAATTCAACAAGAAATTCATAAAGGAAAAAATCAGTAGATAATTATTTACAAAACAAGCTGAACCTAAATTTGGACTGTGAAGAATATATAAGACATGGGAAAATTGGGAAGTGGGTATGTATGAATAAAGGAATAAGGAAAGAATGGAATAAAGAATAGTATGACCGGATGCATATACATATAAAAAATTACTGGAAAATTATGGCCTTGAAAACAGATATTTTAAAAACATATTAAGCAGTTTATAAGACCAGTTTAGCATATATTATTTCATTGGGTCTCAAAAATCACCCTATGGCATAAGAAGGCAGATGTAATTGTACCCATTTGTAAGCTGAGGAAGAATTTTGGAGTTTTTAAAAGGTAATGCACAACAAGGAGCCAATGACTTTAACTTGCTTCTTTTAATATTAAATTCAGAACTTTTTACTAATTTGTATTTCCACTCCAAGGAAGAGAAAGCAAACAGTTGCCTTCCACAATGTTGGGTTCGCTCTCAGCAACTAATAGCTCTAAAACAGGCAAAAGCTTTACTAAAACCAGTTACTTCAGTTCTTTAAACTTCGGTGACTAAATTGCTGTATGGAACAGATACATTTTGAATTTTATAGTCAGGTATCTGTAGCCAAAATTACCATGTATGATTCTGTCCAAAACAAGTACCTCTACTAAGTAAGTTAACAACACATTAAAAGAAAGAATTGTAAGTATCAAATATGAAGAGATATACACTTTCAGCTGTCATGTATTCAACTAGTTATTTTAAGTATCTAGTCATTTTGTGAGGGAGCATGATAACAATCAAATAAACAAGTAAACATATATTTTGTCAAATGCTGACCGGTGACCAAAGTGTTATAGAGAAAAATAGAAGGTGAAGGGAAATAAAAAGGAGTGGGGAAGATGAGTAGTGCTACTGGTGACTAAGCAGAAACTTAAAGTAATGGAAAAGCAAGTGCAAAGGCCTTGGGATGGATCATGCTTATAAAAAGGGTGTGGGGTGCAAATAACTTAGAAATGAAAATCTTTGCATAGGAAAACAAACATTAGATAGAATGGAGGACACAAAGGTGATGACACAACTCTGTAGTCTCACATGTAAAATTATGTAATGTGGAGTGAGAAGTACCACAGGGCTTAAAAGGACAGAGTGAGGTCGACACAGGTTTTAGCATCTTATCCATTAGATTTTAAAATACAATATATTTAGGCCAGCCAGGGTGACTCAATGATTGAGCATCGACCCAGGCACCAAGGCACTGGTTCAATTCTGGTCAGGGCACAGGCTCGGGCTGTGGGCTCAATCCCCAGCAAGGGGCGTGCAGGAGGCAGCGGATCAATGTTGATGTTTCTATCATCATTGATGTTTCTTCCTCTCTCTCTAAAATCAATGAAAAACATATTAAAACTATACAATACACTTATTCACTTGACTATTTCCTCAGTAAATACCTGTATATACTGAATACCTACTGTGTACCAGGAACCACTCTAGGAAACGGAGATAGAAAAGGAGATAAAGATATCTACCTTAATAAATGCTACATTTTACTGTGAGAGAACAAGCAATGAAGAAGTAAAAGAAAAACGCAAAATATGTATTCTCAGGTTAGAAATGACCCTTATGAGTAGTGCGGGATAAAGGGATAAAAAGCAACATAATTTGATTTTTGTTTTGGTCAAGTGATAAACTAGCATAACCTGTTGACCTGTTGGCCTCTTCTGCAAAAACCCTAGAAAAAAATTAAGTGAGAGGAGCTAAGGCTTCTAAGTTATTTAAAAGCAAAAACAAAACAAACAACCCTAAAAAAACTAACTCCTGGGGACTGAAGGTTCTCCCTAACATGCCTGTGGGGTGCTATGAGGGACTGAATCTAAAGCACAAGAGGAAAAAAACACCTTTAATAACTTCTGCTGTAGCCAATCCTGGCTGTCTTGGGCAGATCCTTCTGTGCTCCTTTACTGTAGAAATCTGCAGATTGTGGGCATCCCCAGGATTAAATCAGAGCATTTCAGAAGTCTTGCTGGGTTAAAGGGTAGATTTTATTTTAAAAGGTATAAGTTTGGGAGATGGAAGGAGAGGGAGGCTGGGTGGAGGATAAAAATGAAGAAGAGGTGGAAGAAGGGAGGAAGAGGAAGGAGGTCAAATCTATAAGACAGTTTGATATTTTCTCAGACCAAAAGGAAATTTCCAGTAAATACTCCAGAACCTTATAGGACTGTTCCCTGGTTGTCAGCTGTTCTCTGATTATCTGGCAGGATCTCAAAGTGTCTTTGTGGTACTGGGAGGGTCTTAGCATTCTGAAATTTGTCAAACAGTTTGATAAACCAAATGTGCAACAGCAACAGATCTGAAGGGAACATCAGCTGGAATAAGGGGAATATTATCAGTAACTATTAAACTCACAACTGGAGGGGACCCTCACACACTTTGGCCCCAAGAAATCAAATTCTGCCCTCGTGGCTAAAAAAGATGCATGTTAATGGGGCAGATTAAATTTCCCATTCCTCTCTTGGAATAAATGCTTAAACTCAAGATCAATTTGACTTATCAAAATTATCAGAAAGAAATATTTCTTGCTAAAATTCATAGCAGTTTCATTAACTGCTTCCATTCTAGGTACTGAGTCATAGAAGTGGAAAAAAGTAGAATTGGAGATGTACTGGCATAAATGACTCAATTTTTAATACATATTTAGCTAATTTGCTTCAACCTCTGCTGTGACTGCAGTGAAGAATGGAATTAAAGATTGCTGACTGAACCATGTCTGTAAGTCATGACTAAATGGTTTCAGTAAAGATATAGGAAGTGTTGTAAAATAATAGTAAGGAGATATGGGTGTACAGTGGGGCCTTGACTTATGAGTATCCTGACTAATGAGTTTTTTGAGATACCAGCTGTCTCTCGCCAATTTTTTGCATTGAGTTGATAGAGTAATTTCAGTTAACTAGCTCCTTAACGAGCTCAGTCTCCGAATGAATTAAACTCATAAGTCAAGGCCCCACTGTATTTTATCTTGTCCTTTACGTTTTTATTTATTTATTTTATAATATTAAATGAAAAGTAGGGGAAGTATGGCTGTAAAAAAAAAAAAAAGGTATAAGTTGACCAACCACCCCTCGGCAGTCACTTCCACACATCTCCCATCTAAATGCAGAAGGGTAGACTGGCCTCTTCTCAACGCTGATTCTTTTTAAGAGACCAAGGTGGCATTTGGTAGAATGGTAACAACAATAGAGAGCAACAAAGGCCCTGGGGAACCTGAAGCTCTCCACCCTGGGTTTTCATGAATTGACAGGATGGAAAGAGTGACCCTTTCTCCTTAACAGACACAGTGATCAGTAACTTTAGGACATCATGTGGCTTGAGCTCGCAAGCCAAAGTAAGTAGAAATCTGGAGGATACAACAGTCGTAAAAGAGAGATAGCAAACATAATAACATATACTACTACAGCAGAAATTACTTGAAAAGATAGACCAAGAATTTAAAGTAAGTAATTCTAAAGGAAACAAGGGAAGATACAGGAGTTATGAAGGATAGGAAATCATTAAAAAGAACCAAGTAAAATTATGAGGAATACAAAATATAATACAGTGGAACCTTCATTCTCAAACTTAATTCTGGAAGGCTGTTCAAAAACCAAAGCATATTTTCCTATTAGAAACCATGTAAATTCAATTAATCTGATCCAGACCCCCAAATGATTCCATTTTCACCTTTCTTATATACCACAGATGTCTAATTTACTGTTTAATCTACAAGTAAACACTTAAAAAACAAAAAGGATATGATAATTTAACAAAAAGGAAATGAAATGTACAGTAAAAAATGAAACTTTTATAATAAGTAGCAACAAAAGCAAAAAAAAAAAAAAAAAAAAAGAGAGAGAAAATATTCACAGCACAATATCCTGAGATGTTAATAGTGGTAAACTGACTGCACTCTCGCATTCTCTCCTTTGTTGCCTGAGGGACTCGCGACTGATCATTCAGGTATCAGCATGCAAGATTTGCCGGTTGAGATCGAACTGTTCAAGATGGGAGATGCTTGAGAAACAAAGGAGGTTTGACTGAAAGTGAAAGTTTATTTTAGTTAGACTAGGAAAGGTTTCCTTAAGAGGGAAACAGCTGAGCTGAGGCCTGATGATATAAAGAAAAATATAAGTAAGACAATTATGTGAAGATTTAAGGGACGAAAATTCAAAAAAGAGGGAATAATAGCAAGTATACACAGGTGCTTCACCTATGTGAGGAAGAGAAAGGTCTCTTTGGTTATAGGGAAGGTACGCAGGGCAAAATGGCAGGGAAATAGGGTTAAAGAGGTAGGCAGGAGCCTGATCATGGTCTCGTAGGTCACAGTATTTTCTAAGTTAATTGCTCATGCTTTACTTAGGAAATTCTATATTAGTTACTGTACTACCTCTGACTGCATGAAGGCCAATAGGGAAAATAGGTACACTGCTTACTATGAGCCATGTACTAAATGCCTTACATGTTTAACTCATCCTGAGGCAGGAAAAGTGAGAACAAGTAACAGAGGCCTAAAGCTCTGCCCCTCCCCTTTTCCATTTGGCTGGAATATCATAGGTGTAATCTTCACTGACCACCTGTTACCCTGCTTCCCTCTCCTCAATATCCTGTAATTAAGACAAACAAATGGTCTTACCGAAATTTGGCAGCCTACTGACCTAAAAGTGACCAATAGGGCCATTGTAATATCTTTATCATAAATCTGCATTACGGTTTTGGGGCCCTCTCCCCTTACCCCTCGAATTGCCATGACAGTATTAGGAGGACCAAAAAAAGAAATTGCTACCTGGAGAAGAGGGATGAAGATGAGCCATTTCGGCAGGCACCCCACCAGTGCCAGAAATCAAGCCACCCTATGCCCACCTTGCCCTCATTTAATAAAAACCTTCCAGACCCCCACTGGGGCATCTTGTTCTCTGAGGCTGCCCAACTCTCACTTGAGTGGGTACTATCACTTTAAGAAATCTAATGTGCTTTGCTAAATCTTCCTATCACACTCTCAAATCCTTTATTGGGCCGTGATAAGATCCTGGACCTTGGTATTAGATTGAGGCCTCCCTTGGCCTCCTCAGATGCTATCTGGCATCAATCTAACCCTCACAACAGGTAAGAAAGGTTATTATTTACACTTATAGACAAAGAAACTAAAGCACAGAGAGGTTAAGTAATTTACTCAAAGAAGTAAATGGAGGTAGGAAATGGTGGATCTGGCATGTGAAACTAGGCTCTGGAGTCCATGCTCTTAATCTCCATGGTATGTTGCCCCTCAAACTGTTTTAAGAAGGTATTGTGCATAGCAGTGGAGGCAAACTCATTTATACAAATCTGAGAAGACATTAAAGCTGTTCTACTAAGTCACTTATTTCCTGAGCCTTAGTTTTAGTTTCTATACACAGAATATTAGGCTTCTTATCATAGGTACTTTGGGTCTATAGTGAGAAAATTCTCTAAGAATGCAGGAAAAAAAACTCAGCGTTAAACTTTAAGAACAATCAAATACAGATTAAAGACATTATGTACCCCGACCACCTGTTACCCTGCTTCCTTCTCCTCAATATCCTGTAATTAAGGCCCCTTTCACGCCACTGTGTTCACACTCATAAAAAGTCACTTTTATTGCTTGGAACTTGTTTTCTGACAATGCCAGGCATTATCAGCACTGATGAGCTACTGCATACAAAGCATTTTCCAGGGGTAGGCCACATGGTAAGGACTCAATAAACAGCTGAATTATGATCAACACATAATAAAAGTTACACTCTAATAGGCTTTTAACTTTGCCTAATAATATAATTTACAGTCTTCAGAGGTGTTTATTTACAGAAAGACAACTGAAATATTGGTACACACTTATATCATTTATAGGAAAAAGCAGACAGAACTAAAAATAATCCTAAAACTCCTATATTCTAGAATAAATTTTTAAAAATTAGATCATACAGAATCTGTCATGAGAAAATATAAACTACATGCAAGAAACTTTAATATTAACAATGTTGCATACTTTCATATATCCATAATGCTAAAGTAGAATAATATATAATGATAAGCCCCAAGTGTGGCATATGTTTTAGAAGCAGCACTAAAGTAGATAAAAATTACCTGATCAAGTTTTATAGCTACAGAAAAAAACTGAATGTTAAGACATTTACCTATGGAATTATTCGGTCCTTTAGATTTGGTATATGACAAAAATGCAGCTAGAAAAAAGATAGACGACAAAAGTTCTGCTCTTCCTACAACACCCGTTACCTATAAAGGGAAGGGGGGGGGGGTCATATTAATGAAGAGCATCTTGAAAACTTAAAGGTACATAACAGCAACAGCACTCTAACGAGAAACTAAATTGCCACAACTTTTCAAGTGAAAATTTCATTTAGACATTCTTTGAGTGCCCTCATGTGGTGAATTTGTATATCTTCCATAAAAATAAATTTGTCAGTGACTCCAAAGTCCTTTTATCATTAACTAGTGACCCAGTGCATGGATTCGTGCACATTGACAGGAAATTAGTTAGAAGGTGGCCGGCAGGGCGGGACTGGGTGAGACAGGCTGGACACATCCTGGAGCCAACCTCCTGCGGTCTCTCCCCAGCCAGCAGCACCTGGGGTGACACTGTGGCTTGAAGGGCATTTGCGGAGTGAATGGGGTCCCTCTGGCAAGTGGAGTCCCTCGGCCTGGCCTGTGGGGATCAGGCCGAAACTGGCTCTCCGACATCTCCCGAGGGATCCCAGAGTGTGAGAGGGCACTCTGCAAAGTTTTTGTTATACAGGGTGTGGAACACAAACCCAACTGTGCAGTAAACCAGATTTGGGGCTGACAGTGCCCCAGCAACAACATAACCCATGGCTGACAGTGGAATTGCGCGGTCCCGTGAGGAATTGGCTCCCTCCTTTCTGATTTCAGGGTCCATTACCCAAGAACTGCCACTGCCAACTCACTGCAGCTCCTGCATTGAGCATCCGCCTCCTCGTGATCAGTGTGCATCATAGCTACCAGTTGGAGGACACTTAGCATATTAGCCTTTTATTATATAGGATAATATTTTGAAGTAATTATAAACACACAGAAAGTTACAAAAATAGTAGGTAGAGGTCCCATGTACCCTTTACCCAGCTTCCCTCAATGGTAACATTTAAGGAATTCTTAAATATTTTCTTAAAATATAAGTGCTCTAAAAAAAAGTACCATAACTTCAACGAGTTATATCTCACAATAAGCCAGCAAATTAAAGTTTAAAAAGACAATCAACTTTAAAGTCCTTTTAAATTCTAAAAATTTAAATATAAAACACCAAGCCTCTCTCCCTTTAAAATATTCTGAACTCACTCTAAAATTTAAAACAACCTATCATTTTTGTAAATGTATGGAAAACTGCTAGATTCCAAAAAGTTCAAGATAGTGGGAGACACAAGTCCCCTGCAACACATACACAGAATTTAAACATAATTTTTTGCTTAGAATCAAAACAAAGCAATTGAACAGAGTCCTCTTTACTCTGCTGAGAGGCAATTTTGGAGTTTTAAGGTTAACAACAAAAACATTTATCATTTGAAGTATGTCTTGGTAGGTAGGGGCTGATGGACATATTGGCAATAGCAAGAACAGCCCACAGTTTTGAAATACATGGCAACAGACAACTTGAAACTACTGAGTATCATTCCTTGTTAGGATGTCTGTTCATGTTTGCATATATTTTAATATATTTTCATCCCTTATTTAAATCTGCCTTATTATTTTCTGTCCTTTGAAAACAATACCAAATTTAAAAAATATTTTACATTTATATTTATAAAACATTTAGCAAAGAATAAAATTGTATTCATTTACATATTATATTACTAAGACTGAACGATTAGATCTTGTTTTTGAATAATAAATGTTTATGTTTCAAAAACTGCTTTAAATTTTAAAATTTTATGTAGTACAAAGTTAGATTCTGTGCAGTGGGGAATTAGGACTTATTGCAGTAATTTAAGATTCTACAATAAAGTCATGGTTAAACATTATTCTTAAAAATATATACCATATAATCACAGTGTAGACTTTATAAAAAATAATGAAATAAATATTAATTTACAGTGTACTTACTGCTTCTGTGTGTATTGGGTGTACTGCAAAGAGTAAAGAAGCAATCACACTACTTCTGCTGTCCAGAAAAAGTTTGCAGACTTTAAGAAATATTATAGTGACCACAGCATGTAAAATCATATTTAGGAGATGATATGACATCGGTTTAAGTTCACTAAACAGATAATTTAGGCGAAATGTCAAGACTGTTAAGGGACGGTAAGACTTGTGACTTCTCTCCTAAAAGGAAAAAACAATCACTGATTACTAAGTACCCTGGTTCTTTGGGATATATGAACTAATCATTTAATTAACTTAAAAAAAAATCTTTATTCAAAGTATTACAGATGTTCCTTTTTCTTCCCCCATTGTCCATAATGTATAAACCTGAATTATATTACACCGAAAATCTCCAAATACTACACAGAGAGTAATGTAAGAGCAAAACCTTCTTAGAATAAGAGAATAGACACCTTTGCTATGGCAGTCTCCAACAGCAATACATCCAACATCCAATTTTATATGAAGTACTAAATTTCTTTATAAATGACAAGTCACATTTAACCAGAAATATTTTTGCTCTAAGACAAAATCAAGTCAGATTTAAGAATAAAACACACAGATGAAAACTATATAAAATATTATCTTAGTTATTTCCTGTAATTTTATATAAGGGAATGCACACTCAACATCTTTGCTCTCCTACCCCTTACATAGTTTGGTGTGTAGGTACAGACTTCAGCCTGTTCATACCTACTAGAGAACATACGGAAGCACAAGCAACAAATACTGCCCATTTTGAACTAGGAACATTTTAATCTCTCTGTTTGTATTGACTACACACACCATGCATGATGTCTACCTAGAGTGTTCTTTCCTGCTAGGCTAATAATTATACATCCTTTTTATTTCAGCTCAGGCATACAACTTTTATTTTAAGGCACTATATCAAACTGACATGATTTGTACCAGAAAGCAGAAAAAGGTTCGAGAAAATAGAAACACTGTGAGTGCCTGAAATGTTACTGTGGCTCCATTGGAACATATTTGCCAATTGAAAGGATGAAGCAAGAAAGGGGCAGGGAATAGGTATTTTTAATTGCAGTATACATAACTGCTTTGTTAGGTTTATTAGATGTATATATGCCATAGGTAATAACAACTAAAAACAGATTGTTAATATAACTAATTATTCACAGAAATCATTAACATTCTATTTAATAAGACTCCACTGTTGTAGATAATCATCAGCTTATATATCAAATTTACTCTGAAAATCTAGTAAAACAGCTAGTTTCATTATAAACAAGACAATTCTGATCATTATTATATTCAACTATATTAAAGAAAAAATTACTCATGTATTGGTTGGCAATAGAAACATAAGCACAAATATAATGAAAAAATAAGCAGTTAATGTAAATCTACATATATGGATGGCAAAACAAAGTAAGAAAGGATACCTGCAGAAGTTACCTTAACGCAGGTGGCTTTACAGCTCAGTGGTTCTCAACCATGGCTGCACCTAACTTACACAGTCCCTTCTTGCCCCCACCCCAACCCCACAAAAACAAGAAAGCAAACACACAAACGAAACAGGACAAAAAATACTGATGCCAGCATCCCACTCTGAGATAACTGTAATTAATAGTTTTGGGTAGATCCTTGGTAATATATATTTTTAAAGTGACCCAGGCAGATTCTATGTGCAGCTGGGGTTGCAATACAAGAAAACATCAATAAACAGAGTATTACATATTTAAAAAAATGGGCTTACTAAAGAGATTCATCTAAACAACGAGAGCACCAGAGGAGTCTAATGATTCCCTAATGTGGTAGTATTCATGTAGCTCAGGAGAATGTGTCTCTAAGATCTACACTGGTACAAATATCATTATAAAGATTGTGCCTGTGCAAGCTTCCAGGTTACCATTACTTGATAACATCAATCATTATGTCTTTGAAAGTGCTAATTCCAGGCTTGTCAAAAAACCTTATGACAACTAAATACTAGTTAGAATAATTTTTCCATAGTAGCACAGTTTCCTACAGGGAGAGAACATGTTTATCAGAAAATAAGAGGAAGCAACACTCTTCACTATAAATTGTTATTCTAATTTGTTTATACATTTTGGGTTTATTGTTTCTTAGGGTATTCTCTTACAGGTGCTCCGCACAAAATCAAATTTTCATCTGCAAAGCTGAGAAAATCATAAAATATAGCATTAATACCATGGTATAACTTTCATGAGCCCTTTAATCTGATCATCTAACTTTTCAGGTTAAAAATCTCAATGTCATGATTAAATCACAAAAGACACTACCATAAGATAGGCAAATGGACACTTACTTCTCAGGGTCTCTGTGGATTAAATGATAGAGGTCAAGGGGAAATAAACTGTTTCCCCTTCTTAACAAAAGACTTATTTTTTAAAGGCTAGAATTGGGTAAGAATAGCAAGGTTGCAAGAAAATAGAGACTGCTTATTTTATTTATTACTAGAGGCCTGGTGCACGAGATTTGTGCACTTGGGAAAGGGTTGAGAGTGGGGTTGGTCCCTCAGCCCAGCCTGCACCCTCTCACAGTCTGGGAGCCCTCAGGCCTAAGCCATCAGTCGGACATCCTTAGCGCTGCCTTGTTGTTGAATCATTAGACTCAACAACTGTGCTTGCCAGCAGTGAGCCCGGCTTTTGGCTGAGCGGTGCTGTGGGAGTGCACTGACTACCAGGGGGCAGCTCCTGCATTGAGCGTTTGCCCCTTGGTGGTCAGTGCATGTCATAGTGACTGGTCGATCTGCCATTCAGTTGATTTGCATATTAGCTTTTTATTATATAGGACTGTCTTTTAGTCCTCACCCGAGAATATATTTTTATCGATTTTTAGAGGGAGAGGGAGACACAGAGAGAAACATCGATGTAAGAGAGAAACATTTATGGGTTGCCTCCTATACACACCCTGACCGGGGACTGAACCTGAAACCTAGGCATGTGCCCTGATGGGGAATTGAACTCAGAGCCTTTTTAGTGTGTGAGACGATACTCCAACCAACTGAGCCACTCATTCAGGGCTAGAGTCTGCCTATCTGTACTAATAAAAGCCTAGGTGGCCCTCACGTGCGACGTCATCACAAGATGGCTACGTGCACAGTGGAAGCGGGGCCCAGTGGCTGCTTCACACGGTGAGGCCTGGAGATCCTGTGGCTCTGCGTGGCACGGAGGAGTCCGGTCACGGCGACTCCACTGCCTCGCACAGAGGAGGCGGGTCCTGGCAGAGGAGGCAGGTCGCAGCAGGGGTGGGCAGTTGTGGGTGATCAGGTCGGCAGGGGAGGGAAGTTGTGGGCAATCAGACTGACAGGGGAGGGCAACTGGGGGCTATCGGGACAGCAGGGGAGGGCAGTTGGGGCAATCGGGCCGGGAGAGGAGGGCAGTTGTGGGCAATTGGGCTAGCAGGGGAGGGCAGGTATGGGCGGTTGGGCTGGCAGGGGAGGGCAGTTGAGGGAGATCAGGCTGGCAGGGGAGGGCAGGTGTGGGCGATTGGGCAGGCAGGCGAGGGCAGTTGGGGGCAATCAGGCAGGCAGGCAGGCAGGCAGGCGCGAGGTTAGGAGTTAGTCATCCCAGATTGTGAGAGGGATGTCCGACTGCCAGTTTAGGCCCAATCCCGCAGCAGTCGGATATCCCCCAAGGGGTCCCAGATTGGAGAGGGTGCAGGCCGGGTTGAGGGACACCCCCCACCCCGTGCACAAATTTCGTCCACTGAGCCTCTAGTTTCATAAGAAAAAATACTTATTATGTGCTAGTGATGAGAGAAAGGAAAGAGTCCATCCATCCCCTATGCTTGTGAAGCTTCCAAATGTAGAAATGTGGGCTAGGCCATGAATAATGACTGACAAACTATAACTGTAACAAAATTTTATATATTATATTTCAACAACTATGTGCCAGGTAATGTAGATATATCAATTCATTTATTTATCCTCAAGATATAGAGTGGTAGGAAACTGACTTACCATCTAAAAGCTGCTTTCCCAACTATTTCACACAGCTATTACATAATATAATAAAAGGCTAATATGCAAATCGACCAAACAGCAGAAGGACCAGTTGCTATGATGCGCACTGACCACCAGGGGGCTGACACTCACCGCAGGAACTACCCCATAGTGGTCAGTGCACTCCCACAGGGGGAGCTCCGCTCAGCCAGAAGCCGGGCTTACGGCTGGCGAGTACAGCAGCAATGACCAGCCTTTCCCGCCTCTGCTAAGCCATCACCCGGACATCCCCTGAGGGCTCCTGAACTGTGAAAGGGCACAGGCCAGGCTGAGGGACCCCTTCTCGAGTGCACAAATCTTGTGCACCAGGCCTCTAGTTACATAATAAAACTAAAATTAGAATCCAATCTATATAATCCCAAACTGACAAGGGTTTAATCCAGCCCTGGGCAAACTACGGACCAAGGGCCAGATCCGGCCCGTTTGAAATGAATAAAACTAAAAAAAAAAGAAGACCGTACCCTTTTATGTAATGATGTTTACTTTGAATTTATATTAGTTCACACAAACACTCCATCCAAGCTTTTGTTCCGACCCTCCGGTCCAGTTTAAGAACCCATTGTGGCCCTCAAGTCAAAAAGTTTGCCCACCCCTGGTTTAATCCCAACTTAACATTGACCTTCAAAATGAAATTTCTGGCAAAGTAAAATTACCCTCATAAGAATGAAATGAGCTTTTGGGTTCTCAAATAATAATAAAAAAAAAACCTGTTAGATAAGAGAGATGATATTTAATGTTTTTAATAAGTCACTTTTTTTCCTGCAGAAAAATTGCCAATATATATGTGTACTTACTATTTTTTCACTTAAGGTCTAATTTATATTAAAGTTGCATGCATTTTTAAATAAATATATCACAAGTAGTCATCTCTTTTGCCTCATTCAGAAGAGAGGGAAAAAAAAGAAAGCCAGTGAGCAAGAAACAGACTTGCATTTTTTGCTAACACATTTGCTTTTCATACACATACATTATTTTTTAAAAGACTAAGCTAAGGTACACAACCAAGAAAGGAAACAAGTAATGCTTTAAAAAGATAAACACATCTTAAATTTCCTACCCAATTTTTTATAAACATGCTATGCCTAAAATTTTGGGGTAAAAAAATCTATTAATTGCTATGATGACAATGCTCGTAAAGAAAGAAATAGGGCCTGGCTAGTGTGCTCAGTGGTTGATCTGTGACCTATGAACCAAGAAGTCACAGTTCAATTCCCAGTCAGGGAACATGCCTAGGTTGCAGGCTCGATCCCTGGAAGGGGGTGTGCAGGAGGCAGCCAATTGATGATTCTCTCATTAGTATTGGTTCTAGCTCTCCCTCTCCCTTCCTCTCTGAAATCAATAAAAAAGAAATAGGAGTAATAAACTACCAAAATACTTTAAAATCTGAGATTCTTATAATATGTAATTACTTACCTCAGACATAGGGGTTCCCCAGAAGTCATTCTGAAATAAAGTTTTTAAAGGTGTAGATGGATGCAGGTCTTTATTATCCAGTATTGCTGACACATCATCAAAAACAAAACCACAAAAGAGGCTGTTCCAATAGCAGGCAGTAACCACACCTACTATTAAGGTTATTTCCTTGAGGTTAATATGAGCCATCTTTTCCAAAGCACTTGTACACAAAATCTGGGGGGTGGGGGGGGAGAGAGATTATAAAGATAAAATGAAATAAGCAACGTGTGTTTATTTTTAAAATAAGTACAACTTTAATAGATGGAGAGTAAGCAAATGAAGACTGAATGCTAATTATCTCAGAGAATTCATTCTTCAAAGCTCAGCTTAAATGTCATCCATCCTCTCCATATTCCTAATATAAGACAGAATTAATTGCTCCTTTATATGTGCTTTCAATCCTCTATTAGAGTCCTTTATTACACCACTTAATCTTTAGACTTATCTTTCTAGCAAGCTAGATAGTGAACTCCTTATCAATTGTCACAGGTCAGGTTACCTGGGAAATAAATAAATAAATAGATATGATAACTTTTAAAAACTAGTAGGAAGTGCTACTATTTTATTATTTTACTAGAGGCCCGGTGCACAAACATTTGTGCCCTGGGGGGGGGGGGTCCCTCAGCCCAGCCTGTGCCCTCTCGCAGTCTGGGACCCCTCGGGGGATGTCCACCTGCTGGCTTAGGCTCGCTCCCTGGGGGAGCGGGTCTAAGCTGGCAGTCAGACATCCCCCTGGCAGTGCAGGAGCCCTCGGGGGATGTCCGCTTGCCAGCGGGGAGCAGGCCTAAGCTGCAGTCAGACATCCTTAGCGCTGCTGAGGAGGCGGGAGAGGCTCCGACCACCATCGCTGTGCTGGCAGCCATGAGCCTGGCTTGTGGCTGAGCAGAGCTCCCCCTGTGGGAGCTCACTGACCACCAGGGGGCAGCTCCTGCATTGAGCATCTGCCCCCTAGTGGTCAGTGTGTGTCACAGTGACCAGTCATTCCCAGTGGTTCTGCTATTAGGGTCAATTTGCATTTTACCCTTTTATTATATAGGATAGAGGCCTGGTGCATGGGTGGGGGCAAGCTGGTTTGCCCTGAAAGGTGTCCTGGATCAGGGTGGGGTCCCACTGGGATAACTGGCCAGCCTGGATGAGGGCCGTTTTCAGGCTGGCCACACCCCCTTCAGGGTGGGGGTCCCCACTGGGGTGCCTGGGCAGCCTGGGTGAGGAGCTGATAGCTGTTTGCAGGCTGGTCAAGCCCCCGAGTGGGGACCCTCACCCCATGGGGGTTTGGACAGCCTGGGTGAGGGGCTGAGGGCTGTTTTCAGGCTGGCCACGGCCGTGGGCTGGAAGCAAATATCTGGGATTTATTTATCTTCTATAATTGAAACTTTGTAGCCTTGAGTGGAGCCCAAGTCCTGGAAGCCGGGGTTGCCCCTTGGCAACCCAGGCTCCCAGCCACTCCTTGAGCGGAGGCCATGGCAGCTGGAAGCAGGTATCAGGGATTTATTTGACTTCTATAATTGAAACTTTGTAGTCTTGAGCGGAAGCTCAGGGCCGGCAGGGCAGGCGGGAAGCTTGGCTTCCTCTATTGCCGGGGGCAACCCAACCCTCCTGCTCACTCCAGCTCTGTGGCTGCTGCCATCTTAGTTGGGTTAATTTGCATATTCGCCCCTGATTGGCTTGTGGGCGTGGCTTGTGTGTGTAGCAGAGGTATGGTCAATTTGCATGTTTCTCTTCTATTAGATTAGATGGATCTAAAGATCAACTATTACCTAAATCAAGGGTCCAAACTTGTAGCCTGAAGCCCTGTTTAGTTTGATCAAAAGGTTTTAAAAAATGTGTCTTGAATGCTATTATGCTGTTAACAACAGTTCCATTCTCTTTACTCAGACTGATTTGATTGATTTATGCTATCTACCTGACCCCTGGGGCATATGAGTTTATAACCTAGGTCTAAATCATGGCTTTTCTTTTTCCCATTACAAGACTTTTAATCTAGAGAACAAACTTTATATGTGATAATATGTAATTAAATCATTGCGTAGGAAGGATTCATTGAGAGAATGGTTTAGAATAGAAAGGACTACATTAACTGGAAGATACTGAAGAATCCACCCTATGATAAAAATAAGGTTGAGAGGTATTCTTACAAGCTGATGATATACTTTTCCAGTCAGAGTAGTGTCATTAATATCATTTTAGTGTTATCACTTGTGGATGGCTCCCCAAATTGTCCATATCCAAATCCCATTATCCTGTGAATATGTTACCTTACATGGCAAATGAGACTTTGCAGGTGTGTTTAAATTGAGGATTCTGAGATAAGGAGATTATCCTGGATTATCTGGGTAAACCAATTCAATGGGAAGAGACCTGTCAAATGAAGAGTTAAAAGGAGTCTAAAAGCAGAGGTCAGACTGATATGATGGCTGGCTGGAGGCCACAAGCTAAGAAGTCAGGGCAGACTCTAGTAGCTGGAAAAGACAAAGAAACACATTTGTCATTAGAGCTTCTAAAAGGACCACAACCCCATTGACATCTCAATTTTAGTCCAGGGAGACCTATTCTGAACTTGATTTATAGAACTGGAAAATAATAAATTTGTGTTATTTTAAGCTACTACATTTGTGGTCATTTGTTATAACAGCAATAGGAAACTAATAATCACTCACAGAGCCAGATGATCTGAGATCTGAGGTATACATGTATAAGAGTTCTGGTTAGATCAGAGAGAAAGAATAGGGTAGAAAGGGTAGGCAAAAATTTAAAATCATATGTAAGATTTGGGGGATGAAAAAGGGAGTATGTACAAGTTCAGTGATCAAAAGTAATCTCACAGGGTGATCTGACATAAATTCCCAACTAGGAAAGTCATGATGGGTATTAACCTCCAGGCCTAAAACGTTTACCCTTATTGTTTCTGTGCATCTAGGTCAACACACCTTTGAAATGCCTCTTTTTCAGATCCCTCAGAGGCATAAACACCCTCAAGTGAGCACATAATATAGTTTACTATCATGTACCTTGCTTTCTTTCACTTTCATGTCAATCTTCTTCCTTACATTCCCTCCTTAATTACAAATGTAGAAAAGAAACTGAAAAACAGTCATCCTTTGGGGTATTTGAGATCTTGATTCCCAGCAATGTCATCAGTGTGGCTCAAATAAACTCATAAAAATTCTCTGCAGGTTTGGATGTTTCTTACATTGATAATTTACATAGAGATATACAAAAGCCTATGGGAAAACATTAACTTATCTTTAGAACCAGAAAGAAAATCTTAGAAAGAAATGAAACCTTTTCATTAAAACATTTTTCATTTCTTTAAAAACGTTTTTATTTTTATTTATTTTTTAAAAACGTTTTTAAAGAAATGAAAAACCCAATCCAACAAATCAGGAGTGGAAATTAGCTGTATCTTTTGAAGAAATATAGTTTTCAATGAAAAGAAAGGGCTTTTTCCATTATGTAAGGTTTCCTTCCTTCCTTCCCTTTTTCCTTCCCCCCTTCCTTCCTTCCTTATAAGAAAAAGTTTATTTAGAAAGGTATAAAGGTAGTAGGAGTGAGCCAGCTGGGCTACTTAGGCTCAGGAAACAAGTTAGAGGCAAAAGAGGGCTCTGGGAGCTCAGGAGTGAGAAGGGCAAAGGTAATATGCCTTGGGGGAAGGAGAAGGGGAAGGGGAAGGTGTAGGCATCAGGCATGCTCCCAGAGAGAGCTCTGTAGGGCTTCTATTGAATCCCGAAGTGATTTACCATCTCTAAATGGTACTTACACACTTATTATCACACAAAAAAGTTAATGGTGCTTGTTTAAAGACTGAACAGGTAGGTATTTGTTTGCCTCAGCTCCTTCCCAAACATGCTAACATGACACTAAAGGTGTTAATTAAAAAAGAAAGAAAAAAAAGGCTATAAATTCACAAGAATGAAGACAATTGTGTAAATGAAAGAGGAGTTCCATGGAAAGTAATCTCACAGGGTTACTGATCATAAATTCCTAATTGGGAGGGTCATACTGGGTAGTCATGCCCCAGGTATATAGCATTTTACTAAAAGAATTATCTTTGCTATAAGCAGGCTGTGTCCATTATTCCTGTGCATCTAAGTTAACATATCTTTGAAATAAACTGTAATTATCCTCAAGAAAGCACACACAGTGGAACCTTGGCTTTCCAACTTAATTCGCTCTGGAAGGCAATTTGAGAAGTGATTTGTTTGAAAATGGAATCATTTTTCCCCATTAGAAATGATATAATGAATTAATTCATTCCAGACCCACCAATGATTCCGTTTTTACCTTTCTTACTAGTATATACAGTAAATGTTTAATCTATAAATAAACATCTCTTGCTTATATTTATCAAACCACCCCCTACTAGCCTAAACAAATTGATATTGTTGTAATAACCTGGTTATTAATTAAGAGGAAAGGAGTAAAGAGAAGGCCAGATAATATAGGCATGGCATTTATGCCAGGAAGCTGCAATTTAACATTCTGGTCTGTTCCCCACATGGGGGAAGGGACTGGATATTAGATGCATGTCCACTAAGGTCTGGATGACCTGGGAAAGTGCTTATCTGTCAATCACACCTGGGAGGGAATCACTGTCTAGAACAGGCATGGCCACCGCAAAGGTACAAAATCTGAGATACATAGGCACCTGAACAAAGGGAGTGCCCTCTCTTGCACACTGGGTTCTTGGTTCACTTGTTGCTCACATGGACTAAAGTCAGCCTGATGCTGTGGTGGACTCAACTCCACCATGACAGAAACTTTGGACACTGGCTTTGCTTCTAGCTCTGCTGAAGCCCCCAGCTGCACCTTTTCCAGGACTTGTTTAAGGGAAATAGGACTTTGGAAACCGAGCAATATAATTACACACAAATAAAAATCACTCATTCTTCCTGAGATTCTTAGAAAATTCTTTTTCTCAAGATATCATAAGAACTCCACTTCTACTAGCAACAGAAATTCCACCCAAGCAATTCTCCAATAACAGAATCACTTTCAGCCCTGGTTCCAGGGGTAACTTTCAGGAAGTCCACATGTAGCATCTTCGCTTTTTCACATATCACTGCTTCACTGCTTCAGAAATGCTGTCACTAGCTAACTGCTTTCCTTTATCCAAATGAACAATTTTGCTACCTCTTTAATTGCCTGTGATTACTGTTTTGTGTGCACTTTCACAT